AGATGAAATCCCTAACTTAGGTTACACAGTTAATAAATTCAGAACATAGATCTGAACCCTAGCAGTCTAGCTTCTGAATCTGGCTTATAACTGCTAAGCTGTACTGCTTCACATGTAAAAAAGAGTTTTTGAATACAACAGAACAGACTAAATCAAATACATATGTATTAGTTTTCTGTTGCTGCTGCAACAAATTACCAGATTAATTTCAAAAAGTTTGGGACCATTGATCAATGTGGATTATATGTTCTATATATCTGCATATAATACCATTTCTGAATGTGTTTTTCTCCTCTGTGTATAGGGAACAGTGGTTGTAGGCATCTGTAGGTAGTCCAAATACTTAAAAAAAATACCAACAACAACAACAACAAAAAACAAGCTGGAGCCATCCTAAGAAGGGGAAGGACTAACAAGCACCAACAGTCACATACAATGGCCAGGAAAAAGTATTTCCAAGAATATGTTACAAGATGATGGATTAGCCAGATGGCTGGAAATAACTGTCTGTGCAGGCTTAATATTATTAATCTCCTGGGAGGTCTAGTATCTCTTGGCTCGGCCAGCCCCATGAGGTCCTCAAAAGGTGTAATGAGGCAGATGTTCAACTGAGGTAGAATGAACTGTCCAAGAATGGATAAACATGGGGACAAAGAACAGGGCCCCAGGTTCAGGAAAGGTGTGGGCTGGATGGATATTTGAGCCTTAGCTGTGACAGAGAGAGCCAGCCTAGTAAATGCTGGTTCTAGACCAAAAGTTACTGGATATGGTTTGGTGAAGGGAGAAGTCACAGAAGGGGAGACATTTTAGCTTCCTTCACTCAAGCACAAACTATTAGTTATTTAAATGCTAGAACCTAGTCTGAGTCATGATGAGTTTCCTCTGAGCCCTAGTGTTAGGTGTTACGAAAAGTAGAACTGTTATAAAAGGTTCCTTCAGATTGCCAGTGATTTCATTCTGGTTAATGAATTTCTAAAGAGTATGCATTTAATTATTTTATGTATCTATATCTATGTATGTATGTATGTATCTACCTATCTGTCTATCCATCTATCCATCCATCCATCCATCCATCCATCCATCCACTGTAGCTATGGCTTGTAATGAGTTGTCAAAACATTGGCTGTCTTGTTAGAACAACTCTTTGAAATTCATTGGTGGGGTAAATATGATTTGATATCTAATTGTTAAATAGATATCACAAACTTTTCATCAGAGGATCTAAGTAATTTTTTTCTTTTTTTAACATATTTTTAATAATTTTATTTAATAAAAAATTACATAAAAGTTACAGTATACCAAATATAATATCAACTCTATTTTTTCTTTTTCTTTTTTTCTCATATATATATATATATATATATATTTTTTTTTTAATTGTACTTTAGATTCTGGGGTACATATGCAGATCATGCAGAATTGTTGCATAGGTACATACGTGGCAGTGTAGTTTGCTGCCTCCATCCCACTGTCACCTATATCTGGCATTTCTCCCCATGTGATCCCTCCCCAACCTCCCTACCCCTGACTGTGCCTCCCCTAGTAACCCCCCAACAGACCCCAGTTTATGTTACTCCCCTCCCTGTGTCTATGTGTTCTCACTGTTCAACACCCGCCTATGAATGAGAACATGCGGTGTTTGATTTTCTGTTCTTGTGTCAGTTTGTTGAGAATGATGGTTTCCAGATTCATCCATGTCCTTACAAAGGATACAAACTCATATTTTTTATGGCTGCATAGTATTCTGTGGTGTATATGTGCCACATATTCCTCATCCAGTCTGTCATCGATGGGCATTTGGGTTGGTTCCAGGTCTTTGCTATTGTAAACAGTGCCACAATGAACATACATGTGCGTATGTCTTTATAATAGAACGATTTATAATCCTTTGGGTATATACCCAGTAATGAGATTGCTGGGTCAAGTGAAATTTCTGTTTCTAGGTCCTTGAGGAATCGCCACACTGTCTTCCACAATGGTTGAACTAATTTCCACTCCCACCAACAGTGTAAAAGTGTTCCTTTTTCTCCACATCCTCTCCACCATCTGTTGTCTCCAGATTTTTTAATGATCACGATTCTAACTGGCGTGATATGGTATCTTAATGTGGTTTTGATTTGCATTTCTCTAATGACCAATGATGATGAGCATTTTTTCATGTTTGTTGGCCTCATATATGTCTTCTTTTGAAAAGTGTCTGTTCATGTCCTTTGCCCATTTCTGAATTTTTTTTTTTTCCTTGTAAATATGTTTTAGTTCTTTGTAAATTCTGGATATTAGCTCTTTGGCAGATGGGTAGATTGCAAAATTTTTTTCCCATTCTGTTGGTTGCTGGTTCACTCTACTGATTGTTTCTTTTGCAGGAGAGAAGCTCTGGAGTTTAATTAGGTCCCATTTGTCTTTTTTGGCTTTTGTTGCCAATGCTTTTGGTGTTTTAGTCATGAAATCCTTGCCTATGCCTGTGTCCTGAATGGTTTTGCCTAAGTTTCTTCTAGGGTTTTTATGGTATTAGGTATTATGTTTAAGTCTTTAATCCATCTGGAGTTAATTTTAGTATAAGGTGTCTGGAAGGGGTCTAGTTTCTGTTTTCTGCACATGGCTAGCCAGTTACTCCAACACTATTTATTAAATGGGCATCCTTTCCCCGTTGCTTGTTTTTGTCAGGTTTGTCAAAGATCAGATGGCTGTAGATGTGTGGTGTTGCCTTCAAGGCCTCTCTTCTGTTCCATTGATCTATACCTCTGTTTTGGTACCAGTACCAAGCATTTTGGTTACTGTAGCATTGTAGTATAGTTTGAAGTCAGATAGTGTGATGCCTCCAGCTCTGTTCTTTTTGCTTAGGATTGTCTTGGTTATACGGACTCTCTTTTGGTTCCATATGAAATTTAAGGTGTTTTTTTTCCAGTTCTGTGAAGAGGGTCATAGGTAGCTTGATGGGGATAGCGTTGAATCTGTAAATTACTTTGGGCAGTATGGCCATTTTCACAATATTGATTCTTCCTAACCATGAGCGTGGAATGTTTTTCCATCTGTTTGTGTCTTCTCTTATTTCCTTGAGCAGTGGCTTGTAATTCTCCTCGAAGAGGTCCTTTACATGCTTTGTTAGTTGTATTCCTACATATTTTATTCTCTTTGTAGCAATTGCGAATGAGAGTTTGCTCTTGATTTGATTCTCTTTTAGTCTGTTATTGGTGTATAGGAATGCTTGTGATTTCTGCACATTGATTTTGTATCCTGATACTTTGCTGAAGTTGCTTGTCAGTTTAAGGAGACTTTGGGCTGAGACGATGGGGTCTTCTAAATATACATTCATGTCATCTGCAAATAGAGACAATTTGACTTCTTCCTTTCCTAATTGAATACCCTTTATTTCTTTCTTGCCTGATTCCTCTGGCTAGGACATCCAATACTATATTGAATAGGAGTGGTGAGAGAGGGCATCCAGATTTCAAAGGGAATGCTTCCAGTTTTTGCCCATTCAGTATGATATTGGCTGTGCATTTGTATAAATAGCTTTTATTATTTTGATATACGTTCCATCTATACCTAGTTTATTCAGAGTTTTTAGCATAAAGGGCTGTTGAATTTTGTTGAAGGCCTTCTCTGCATCTATTGAGATCATCATGTGGTTTTTGTCTTTGGTTCTGTTTATGTGGTGAATTACGCTTATAGACTTGAGTATGTTGAACCAGCTTTGCATCCCCAGGATGAAGCCTGCTTGATCATGGTGGATAAGCTTTTTGATGTGCTGTTGCAATCAGTTTGCCAGTATTTTATTGAAGATTTTCACATCTATGTTCATCATGGATATTTACCTGAAGTTTTCTTTTTTTTGTTGAGTCTCTGCCGGGTTTTGGTATCAGGATGATGTTGGTCTCATAAAATGATTTGGGAAGGATTTCTTTTTTTTGGATTGTTTGGAATAGTTTTAGAAGGAGTGATACCAGCTCCTCTTTGTATTTCTGGTAGAATTCAGTTGGGAACCCATCTGGACCTGTGCTTTTTATGGTTGGTAGGCTATTAATTGCTGCCTCAACTTCAGCCCTTGTTATTGGTCTCTTCAGGGTTTCGACTTCTTCCTGGTTTAGGCTTGGGAGGGTGCAAGTGTCCAGGAATTTATCCATTTCTTCCAGGTTTATTGGTTTATGTGCATAGAGTTGTTTGTAGTAATCTCTGATGGTAGTTTGTATTTCTGTGGAATTGGTGGTGATACCCCTTTATCATTTTTTATTGCATCTATTTGATTCTTCTCTCTTTTCTTTATTATTAATCTGGCTAACAGCCTGGCTATTTTGTTGATCTTTTCAAAAAACCATCTCCTGGATTTATTGATTTTAGAGGCTACATAAGATATTTAGGTTGGGTTGCCATCTCCACACTGAAAGTCGTGAATATACTTATAGATGACTTAGTAATAGTCTTCCATCCTCCCAAGAGAAGCTTTTCTCATTCTAATGGACTGCAGCACCAGAGTTTTTGTAGTTGACTGGAGTTCCAAGTCAACCTTGATTATGCTTTTTTGACAGTGACCAAAGTGCTCTGTTAGAGGATTTATTGATGGACCAAACCCCATAAATGTAGTTGTCATTGCCAGGAGAGAAACATGCCATTCTGAGTATTCGTAAAATGTTCTTGTAAAAATGTTTTGTGAGCAGTTGTTTTATATTATTTTTACCTTTAGAGATTAAAAAAAAAAAAGCATCCATTTTATGCATGACAAGAGATATTTGCACATAATCCACTGTGGTCATTTGGCTTACCTTGATATCAATCATTATGACTGTTTTAAAAGAATTCTGAAGAGGTACATACTTAAAGTACTTTTATCTTAAAAACGTCTTTCCCTCTGTGACATTGCTTTGTTTCTGAAGGTCAACTTTCTTCCTTTTATTTTTAAAAATTATATTTTTGTCATAAGCACATAGTTTCTTCTTAAAATAGATCTTTGGTATGCATTTATATACTCTCTCTATATCTAACTCATTATTTTAAACTTTCAGGCTCAACTTTAAAGAAGCTTCTACACACTGGAAATTCTATTAAGGTATTTATTTTATTATGTAATGGCATTTTTTATTACTCTTAATTTTGTTAATGACACAAAGTAACAATGTTAGGCCATTTTGGAAAAAAGACCTTTAAAAACCACTTGACTTAGTTCTAATTTTTTATTGAGAAATTATATGATGAATAATTTTAAATAGTATTAGGAGAAAATGGATTGAGCTTCAGAGTTTAGAGTTCTGAGTTCTCATTCTGATTCTGCTGGGTACAGGTAGGGATCATGGGCAAGGCACTGACTGCTTCAGTTTTATCATCAGAAAAAGGAAGGGCAGTCCCCCTCTAAGCTTCAGAGCTCACATGCTTGATTCTGTCCATCTTGGTAACTGGTTGTTAAAATTATAGTTGTCTCTAATGAATTTTACTAATTTTGAGAGCCATCGTGGGAGAAAAGAACAAGAGGGTCTCACTCTTGAAAATTTATTTGTGGCAGATTTATAGGTTAAAATTAACTTAGTTTGAAATGGGTATGTGTTTTATTATAACATATACTTCTTGATGCTGAGATAAGATTACCCTAAAACATAAGTGGCAGAAAAAATTCAGCCTGGGATGAATATTTTATGAACAATAATTCAGTTGGAGTTAATTTAGCTGTGCAAATGCCTTTAATAAGCCAGTACGTTGGTGGTTTTATACTGGCTTAACTGATCACAGCCTCTTAAAACTTGGTATGTTAACTATTTCTCATGTTTAAAAAAAAGTGAGTTATTCTTTGTCTCACTGTAGATTCTATATTTTGTCACTCTTAAGGAAATGGATTTATAATTAAAACATCAGGTTGTTATCTCATGTTTATAATTACCCTTATTTATATTTAGTTCTCTTAAATAAACAGTTAACATATAGAAATTGGAGACTTGTAATAGAATTTCATAGAAACTTGCCTCTTGTTAAATTAAATATAATTTGATTCGATGTACATAGAGCTGGATGGGTGCAGTGGTTCACACCTGTAATCCCAGCACTTTGGAGGCCGAGGCAGGTGGATTGCCTAAGGTCAGCAGTTCTAGACCAGCCTGGCCAACATGATGAAACCCTTTCTCTACTAAAAAGACAAAAATTAGCTGAGTGTGATGGTGCATACCTATCGTCCCAGCTACTTGGGAGGCTGAGGCAGGACAATTGCTTCAACCTGGGAGGTGGAGGTTGCAGTGAGCCGAGATCGCACCACAGCACTCCAGCCTGGGCAACAGAGTGAAACTCCTTCTTAAAAAAAAAAAAGATATACGTAGAGCTCTCCTCTCTTCTCTCTTCCATCTTCTTTGTTCTTCTTCTTTTTTTTTGGTCTGGTGGCTGAATAGTAATGTTACCACTCATCTGACCTGCTTGAGGGGAAAGGAGGACAGGTGTGAGCAGGCATGGAAGTTTGTGCGGAGGAGAGCAGTGCAGTGGTGGAGTCCAGCAGCATGTTTTGAAGTATTCTGTGAATTTGTGAATTTCCTCTGTTAATGGGGTAGCACTGTCACCAGCTGGGTTATCTGTCCTAGTGTGTTTTTACTTCTATTGGAAGTCAGCAGAATATTTTTATTTTGGCTCTTCTCCCCTTTTTGGTTTGGTTTTCTGGCAAAGCCTTGTGTTTGACTTGCAGTGTTCTTGCTCTGGTGGAGTCAGCACCACCATGAATTAATTGAAAGGAGATGAGGCAGTCACTGTAGTTGCTGGTATTTGGGGCCCACTCTATCTTTCAGCTGCATGTGACATTTTTTCAATCTCTTTTGCTAATTTTTTTTTTAATTGACATTATGTTTTTAGTCATTTAGGAGTACAGAAATGGAGAGATGTGATTGAATTTTAGGAATGGGATGAATTTGAAAGTGTAAAGAAGAAAAAGGACACATCTACCTAAGTTGATGTTTTCTACAGCGTGATGCCAGGAATTCAGAGCATGGCAAAGGTCTTGGAGAAATAGAATAGTGATATAAGGTATAAGGAGAGCTGCTTTATCTCATTGAGCTAGACCTTCAAGTTCTTATTTAGCTCCAAGTCTTCTGATTCTCAAGAACATTATCAACATGGTATATTATAGTGATAGCACATGTAAATTTGGGGGGAGATTATCTTTGTCATTGTTTTTATGGATAATTGAACATTGATACCATGAGTACTGTTGCATTACAGAATAAGATACTATTAACAGGAAATACTTGGGAGTCAGCCATTGTGCTGTGTGGTGTACAAATGTTAATTCAGTCTTTATCATAGTTTTTTGTGGTAAGTGCTCTTACCATCCTTATTTTACAGATGGGGAGACTAAGGCATGGAGAATTAGTGGTCCTCCATGGATCCTAGCTAGAAAGTGGCAGAGCCTGCATTTGAACCCAGGCACTTTGGTCCAGAACTTGAACTCTTAACTCTTGTGCTGTATTGCAGCATTTTTGCTTATTTGTCACTAAGTGAAGAACTTGGTGTACTACTTAACAAACTTTTCACTTGTAGTTTTTCTTTCTCAAGATGGATGCTACATTGTGGTGCATTTCTGTAAATACATGTAAGTGTTTGTTTTCATTGCTTTTAATTTTGTTTTTAGATAAGATGTGAAGGAATCAGGCTGTTTCTTCTATGGCTTCAAGCCCTTCAAACAAACTGTGCAGAAGAGCAGGTGCTGATTTTTGCTTGCCTGGTGCCTGGTTTCCCAGCAGTCATGTCATCCAAGGGCCCTTGCACACTGGAGACACTCATCAATCCCAGCCCTGGTGTAGCTGATGGTAAGTTATGTTAGCAGGTCTCCCATGTTTAAATGAACTCTTGAACTTATGTTAAGGAATTCTTGCTTTTTCATTTTCTTGAATAGAAATCCTAATGGAGTCTGAAAAGGAATTATTCCCCTTTCATATTCACAGTAGATCCTTCCACACCTTAAAATCAAAAGACTTGGAGCTTATTTTATATGGAATGATGACAGGAGAAATTTACTGAAGTGATGGAAGCAGGAATAGAAGGAGGGGCAGATGTTGGCAGTAGAAGGAAGTAGAGACACATGGGAAGTCTGGACTGGTTTTCTGGCTATTAGTGAGGTTAAACTCCACCATCTGAAGCTACTGTCTATTGTTCTTTATCACTGTTGTTCATAAGTGGACACTCATCTGCTCACCATGATCTTATTTTGCCACTGTGTATCTTCCTGCAGTATCTATGGAAGGACAGTAGTAGCCTCATGGGACTATTAATGGTGGCCATTTGTGTCCTTTGAGTTTTGAAGGAACTTGCCTGTTGGGACCACTGATTTATTACTGTATATTGCTTTATGGCTCAATGACTGGCATTTGATCTTGGGCTGACCAAAGCAGAGTCTGAAAGGGAAAGAATGGTGCAGCGGGAGAGGGTGCTTCGTGGGCATCTGGACTGTGTTTCTAGGCTCTTTATGCACACTGCCTTGGAGCTCAGTGTGAGCAGCTCCAGTGGATGGAGAGATGTATTTTAATAGAGACCATTATAAAAACCCTAAACTCTGTTTAAAATTTGACTTTGGTGAATGAGCTCTCATCATTTTCTGTACTTTCAGTAAAGATATATCCAGAAGAAATTACTCCACTCCTGCCAGCTGTGTCGGGGGAGAAGATTGCTGAGGACCAAACCTGCTTTTTTCTTCAAATACTGTTGAAGTATATGGTTATTCAGGTCAGAAAAATTACGACTGTTTCAGTGATGGGTTTATTCTCAATAGGAAAGAGGAAAAACTGCCTCTTTTCTCTCTACGTATCCATATTTTTTCCTTTTTCTTTTTCTTTGAGGCGATTTTATGTGATATTTCAGAGGCTGAACAGATGAACAGAAATAGGCAGAGCAGACCAGGGGACTAAAGGAAAGCATATGGACCAATCTCCTCATGCCATTGGCATAGGTCTCCTTTATGTCACATATTAGTTTTTCTCATATGCATCAACTACATACAGAACTGAAGTAGCTGGTTTATGCTTTTAATAGGAGATTTGTGACTCCTGGTCTAGATTTCTAAATAATAGAATAAAATGTACTGATTCTTTTTTCTTAGTAAATACTTCTTTTGTCCTTGAGTTCATCCTGGGTATTGTCCAGTATCTGTCTTCCCCTTCACAACCAAGTTGTTGAAGTAATAATCTCTGCTGAGTTCACATCCCCACTTCATGTTCTTTCGATACCCACTGTTTGCTGCCTTCTGCCCTGTGACTGCTGAAGTGGCATGCCGCAAACCACAAAGATTCTAGGGTCAGTCCGGAGGGAGGGTATGCTTCAGGTTTTACTTTCCTCATTCTTTGAGGGGATTTGATGACCCCTCCTTCATGAGATTCTCTCCTCTCCTGATATTTTCTCTGGTATTTCTCCTCCCTTCCTTTCACTCCTTTCTGGTTTTCTTTAGGGAACCGTGCTTTTCTCTACTGACTCTCAAGATTTAGTACTTGGCTGCTCTTTCTGAATACTCAGCAGTTTTGTCCCCTTTTCTCGCCCCGTTCCCTTTAGCCAGCAACAGAAACACAGAACTCCAAATAGAGCCTGACTGAGGCATGCTTTCATATTCTGGAAACTCCACATTTGAATTCTAATGGCCCATTTCTAGATTCATCTCAAATGCCAGCCGTTCAGAAGTGGTTGGACATTCCATTTGTCCTGGAAAATCAACAGAGTATCCAGGACTTGTGTTGGGGGCCTTGGGTTCTCATTTTAGATGTGTCACTAATGAGTTGTGTGACCTCAGCTAAGGCAGATGGAATTGATACAGGATAGAGGTTTGCATGCAGTCTGTGAACCTCCTAATTGTGTGAAGGATTTTAAGTGCATATCCGTGCCTTCCTTCTGCCTTCTCTTCTGTCGATTGAGTTGAGTTTTCAGAGCACAGCTTTTGACAGGCTGTGGACACTGAGCCCCACTGCCCCTGGGGTGGCCAAAGCACCTCATCCCTTTACCTCACATGCTGCATAAATTTCATTTTCTAAGTGGGCATGTCAGGAAGGAAGTGGAAAGCCCTGCTTTAGAATGCTCTCTGGTCTAAGAAGTGTTAGAACCACTGACAGGTCTTCTCTAAGGGCTGCGTTTTCCCTAAGTCCTGTGGGGGTGACTGCACCTGTGTAACCAGGCTGTCCTCCTGGCTCCTGAGGTGTGGTCCCATCTATTGAACAATTTTGGAGTGCTCCCACTATGCAAACACTGATGGGTTTTTGAGGGGGAGAATATTATCTCAACACTGTAAAAGATTTAAACTTAATCCATAGTGGACTGGCATGTCTGGTTTATTTTAGCCTTTCGATTTTTTAAATATGGAGAATGCATTTTCCAAGATTCCATGGCTTTTGCCTTTTGACATTGATTATGCATGTAGGTAACATTGGATGAAATTCTTGAGAGGGATTGTTTCTTTAATTTCTATTTATTATAAATGGCCTTTTTCTGAGTTTAGAAAAAAAGCACCAATTATTTGTGACTAAGTATTTTAAAGGCACAAGGAATGTTAGGTAATCAGAAATAACATAGATTAAAAATATGGGGATGATATATTATAGCACGTTGTAAAAGATATGCTATCATTCTAACATGGTTACTGTTTTGTTTTGAAGTATTCATTCCTGTCATCTTTTGAGCTTTGTTATGATTTCATTACATGGTTATCAGTATTATTTGTCATTTTTTATATTTAGGATAGGAATATTAGTAACATAACAGCACTTCAGTTTAGTACATGTTAATTTGAAATATAAATATACATATGTTCTTTTCTACATATTATCCAAAGGCTGCAAGTTTGGAGTGGAAGAATAAGGAGAATCAAGATACTGGTTTTAAATTTCTTTTTACATTGTTTCGAAAGTATTATCTTCCTCATTTATTTCCATCATTTACTAAGTTAACAAACATCTACAAACCTGTACTTGGTAAGTACTGTTGGAGCCGTGTATAGAGGATATCCAAAGGAAAGCTATGCAGTCTCTTTCAAAGTGACCTTTGATTATTTTAAAGTAAAATAGTCATTTTATTTTTGTGTTGAATGGTAACTTTATTATTAGATGTTTAAAGTTTCTTAATAAGTGGTTTTAATTATTTGTACCAACCAAGATATACCTCAGCTCACAGAAGTAAAAAGGAACCTGGCTCCTATACTCGGAAATGTATTTATGATATTTTTAGTATAATTATATTTATCATCTTTTAATGTAAAAAAAATCTGCATTTCCTAAAGTCTTTCTTTGTGGGTGGTTGTGTATTGTGACCTCAGGCTTTGCTCAGTGACTGGAAGCCACCCAGGGCACACAGTTGCCATTGTATGCCTTTTCTCTTATGCTGGGTCCTGCATCCAGCAGCTGCTACTGATAGGTGCTTATGGAAGATAAAATTTTAGGTGATTAAACAAGCTATGGACAGTAAGCCCCAGAGGACTAGGAAACATAAAGAAATTTCTAATTTGGCTCCTAATGTTTTTTTCTTCTGTAAGAAATGAGGACTTACAGGATAGAAGCATCCCTTAGAGTGGTGGAGGTGGGGGTCAAATCTTCCTCTCCCTATTATTTAGAACAGGTAAAATTAGTTTAAATGAATAATTAAAAACAGTTTTGCAGTAGGAAATGGTGACACAAGATGTTACTCTTATGGGGAACATGGCTGCCTGGTTCATTTGTCTGTGCTGTGTGTGTGTGTGTGTGTGTGTGTGTGTGTGTGTGTGTACACATACACAGAAACACACACACGGGCAAGGGGAGAGAAGCCGAAACGTGGGGCATTTTGAAAGATGTAGAATTACTGACTTTTAGGGATACTGGGACATGTATTTCCTTAGCTATATATATATACATATATATATGTATATTTATATGTGAGTATTTTTTTCAAAATTTGTTTCTAATTTTATATGTAGTTCATATTTATTGTAAAAACATGGTATATTGTTAGTATTCCTAGATTAAAAGTTATTTGTTGATAATTTTTCTGCCTCATACAGGTATTCCAGATATACAAAAATTATTAAGATACAGGTTGAACTTAGGTCAAGTAGTATCTCAAATCCAATAGCATATAATTTTCATATTGATTGTGGAATTTAAAGACTGAGAAATTTACTTCTCATTAAGTCTTTGGAAAAGGTAGCATTTGATGCCTCAAAGATAAAATGTGACTTTCTGAATTCTTTTAAATATAAAGTAGATGATATTGATTCTGTTTCATTGGATTCATCTAAAGGGAAAAGGGATATAAAACTCTAAATTTCAGTGGATTTAATCACTGCAGTGTTAGATGTTAAAATACCTAAAATGATGTTTTAAAAGTTTATATATACTTTTACATTTTCTCCAGCTATAAAATAAAATTAGGTATAATGTATGTGAAAGGATTTTCACTATTTTAGTCTCATGTAATTTATCAAAATTGTAAAAAAATAGTTGTTGGCTTAATTTTTCCATGGCTGTATATCATAGATACATAAACAATCACGTTACCGCCGATTCTCGGTCAGATCACAAGGCGGAATCAGAAATGACCCTACAAAAAAAAAAAAATGCCATTTTTAATCATTGTGGTTCTTCGTTCTTAGTTGCTGTTTAGGCAACCAAAAATACGTGTTTTTAATTGGAAACCAAAACATTTGTAGGAGTTACATAATGTTATGATTCACTAACCTAATCAATCATGTATTCTTTTTTTCTACCAGACATCCCCCATTTGAGACCAAAGCCAGTGTATATTACTACAACTCGAGACAATGAGAACATTTACAGTACAAAAATTCCATATATGGCAGCTCGTGTTGTTTTTATTAAGTGGATTGTAACCTTCTTTTTGGAAAAAAAGTATCTAACTGCAACACAAAACACTAAAAATGGAGTTGATGTATTGCCTAAAATCATCCAGGTATGCCATTCTTCATCTTTTTATCTCTTAATGTTTGTGTAATAAAATACGCTAGAACATAGCCGAAGTTACTGATTATTAGAGTTATTGGTTCTTACAGATAGTTGGTTATAGGTAAGCGATTTTATTGGCCTAACTTGTCTGTAATGCTGAGGTTTCAGAGGGAACTGTGAGTTTGAATCACTTGCTGTGCATTGTGGGGATTGCCATGATGACGCAATCTCAGGAGCGCAGGGCCATCCTGAGAAGATGGCTGTTGTATGCCCACTCCTGGCTCCTCCTCATTCTCCTCACTTGTGTACCAGTGACCTCTGGGCATGAGAACAGAGGCCTGTCTTGCCTTCACCATGCCCCAATAACTGGAAAGCTCTTAGGAAACTGTAAGTGGCCCCTGGAGAGGGCCTGTGAGGCTGCTAAGTGCCCTCTGGCATCTCAGGAGAGGGAGATCAGCAGCTCAGGATTTTGGGCTGGTTGTTGAGCAATGGTGAGGTTCCTAGAGGAGAAGGCCACCTCTTCCTGAGGCCTTCAGAAGAGACCTCTCCTTGTGTGGAGACTGCTGTGCTTTTTCTCTCTTGGTCTTGGTCAGCCAGACACATATGGGGGCATTCCCATCAGGCTGAGTTGCCTAGGGACTTGGAGCAATACCACTCGTGGAGGTCAGAGAGCAGCCACTTCGCTGAGGGATCATGGTGTTGTATGCTCTTTTGTTTATTGTCCCCAAGAACAGGGAAAGGAAGTGTGGTCCACTAACCGCAGATTTGCCAATGCCCTGGAAGTCCCAGAAGTCCTACTTAGGCCTGAGCTAAAAGAATACACAGACCTGAAGAGGCAGATGAGTGGCTTTTGTGCTTCAGTGTCATTAGGAACCTTGATGGAGGAACACCAGAGTCTAGAGCAGGTGTCTCCAAACTACGGCCCACGGGCCGCATGTGGCCCCCTGAGGCCATTTATCCAGCCCCCCGCCGCACTTCAGGAAGGGGCACCTCTTTCATTGGTGGTCAGTGAGAGGAGCACAGTATGTGGTGGCCCTCCAATGGTCTGAGGGACAGTGAACTGACCCCCTGTGTAAAAAGTTTGGGGACGCCTGGTCTAGAGCATGTAGCTCCACTGGGGAGAAGTCACTGAAGAGTTAGAGGAGAAACTTATTTTCGAGGTCTGAGGGAGGCACAGTTACAGTAAGAACAACAAAAGACTTGCTGAAAGAAAGTTTTAAGAAACCTTTAAATGTCTTAGTTAAAAAAAAAATTAGTAAATAAAATGAAAATGGTAATGATTATTGCTGAGAAAAAAATTTGTTTTCTGAAAAAAGATCCCACCACAGTGACTAAAAATTTAGAGAGACAGAAATCAGAAATTAGTAGACAAGACTAAGTACAGGTTCCTATCTTGCAAATACTAGGTGGGCAGAAGAAGAGATTGAGGATAATTGAACAAATAATATTAAGAGTTTATCTGAACTGAAAAAAAAAAAAGAAAAAAGAAAAATACATGCCTCAAACTTAAAGCGTCTTTGAGTCCCAGGAAAAATTATCAAGGCACAAACCTAAACAGTCATTTGATTTTCAGGAATTAAGAGACAGTAGTATAGGTTTCCAAACAGATTATGTCAAAGGAATGAGACTGAGATTAGTGTTGAACATCTAATCAAATTGGCAACCCTGCAATCTCTTTTTCTCTCTCCTTCACATACATACACATCCCCCCACAGAATGTCAGTCAAGATCAGAAGAAATAGTCATTAATTAACGGTGTTGGCATAATTGGCTGGAACCTTGCTTCTTACAACACACCGAAGCAAATGTCAGATTGATTTAAGGTCTACCTTAAATAAAAACAAATAATGAAGAAATGTAACAGAAGGGAAAATCCAGGGAAGTGTCTAAATTTGGGAAGTGTTAGACTACCTTAGTAGAAATAATACCAAGTAGGCTGGGTGCAGCGGCTCACTCCTGTAATCCCAGCACTTTGGGAGGCTATGACTGGCAGATCACTTGAAGTCAGGTATTCAAGACCAGCCTGGCCAACATGGTGAAATACCATCTCTACAAAAAATACAAAGATTAACCAGTCCTGGTGGCAGGCACCTGTAATCCCAGCTACCTGGGAAGCTGAGGCAGGAGAATCACTTAAACCTGGGAGGTGAAGGTTGCAGTGAGCAGAGATTGCATCAGTGCATTCCAGTTTTGGCAACAGAGTGAGACTCCATAAGAAAGAAAAGAAAAGAAAGAAAACCCAGTAGCCATGGAAAAAATGAGGTTTGACTTTATTAAGAGAAAAAAAATGGAGAAAGATTTTTACATCAAAAGACAATGTAAGGCCAAGTCTCATCAATAGACTATGAGATAATGTCATGACTGTTGAAAGAGTTAATATCTCTGCTATATAGAGTACATATGGACTGATAAGAAGACAACCTCACTGAAAAATGGACAAAGATGAAAGGGTGGCTCATAGAAGATGGACTACAGGGATCCCCTGATGTCACCAGCAGTCAGGGAAATGCATTTAGTTCTGAACCATGATGAGATACCTTTATTCACTTATCAGGCAGACAAAAATCTGTATAAAATATTTTGTAAGAAACTCAGTCATGCTCTTTGGTAAATTTTACATCACATCGTAAGTGATTATTACTCAGTTCAAAAAAGTTTTAATTAAGGGGTGTAACCTTTCCTTTCTGGTTTAAAAAGATCAGAAAACCATCACCTATATTTATTGAAAATGAGTAGCTCAGTCTTGAAAAGTACATCTGGATGATGAGAAGTAGAAAGAGCAGCAAATTAACCACTGCTTCTGGATTCTCATTTTTTCTTTTAGTTGACTCTTCACAGTTGTGAGTCATCGACTTTTACTATTTAGCTTTTTAATTATCTTAAAGATTGGAACTTAGGAATCAATTAGGATGGTTCTGTCATCCTCACAGAAAAAGGAACACAGCTCAGACTGTCTTAAATGTAAAAGAAATACTTTAATCTTACTAAAAAGAAGCATGTGGTGAGGCTCACAGAGAATATGGTTCACTCACATGTTCTCCCTGGTTCTCTATGGTCTTATCCTCTCTGTTCTGCCCTTTCCCTGTGGGAGCTTTGTCTGCAGCAGCTTCCCCCTTGATTGTAAGATGGCCACCAGCAGCTGGGGCCCTGCTTTTCTTGTTGACATTTAGAGGTGATCCAGAAATATAAAGCCCTTTCCTTTTGTCTGAGTGGAACAACTTAGGTTACCTCTCTCCCCCTGGAATAGTAACAAGGAACTGATTTCACTTAAAGCTGGATGTGTGAGTGGGCCAGGAGATGTTGTGATTGGCCTCTACGAAACAAATTGGTTCCCTAGTACTGTGGATGGGGTCAACTTCCTGCAAGTCAATTGGGGTACATGGGAGGAGGCACACCAAGGAATGAGGTTCTGGTAGGGAGGAGGAGGGCTGACAGCCATTTGTGCCCTCTGTGCTATCCATACCCTGCAGATGGCTGTCCCTAGAAATGGCCACTACCATTATAGAGACTGCCACTATACTTCACAGTAAGTTGTTATGTTAGTTTCTTATTGCCACTGTTGCAGATTCTCACAAACTTAATGTCTTGAAACAGTACAAATTTATTATCTTACAGTTGTGGAAGTCAGAAATCCGAAATTAAGTTATTGGCAGATCTGTGCTTCTTGAGGTTCTAGGGGAGAATTGTGTGTTCTTGACATGTCCAGCTTCCAGAAGCCACTTGTATTCCTTGGCTGTGGCCCTGCATCATACCACCTTTTCTCCCAGTTTCCATTGTTACTTAGCCTTCTTTGTCTATTATCCTCCTGCCACCCTTTTGTAAGGATCCTTGGATTATATTGGGACCATTTGGATAATCCAAAATAATCTTTCTGTCCCAACATCTTTAAGTTAATCATATCTGCTAAGTCTCTTTTGCCGTAGAAGGTAACACATTCACAGGTTCTGGGGATTAGGACATGGACATCCTTGGGGCAGTCATTATTCAGCCCTCCAATGCTGGTGGGTCTGCAAGGTCCAAGATGGCTTCATTCGCATGCCTGCTACTTGGTGGGGGCAGTTGGAAAGCTGGGATCATCTGGGACTTCCTGTTCTGTTTTCTTGCTAACAGGATAGTTGGACTTCTTATTTGCCTGCTCAGGGCTCCAAGAGTGAAATGTTTCAAGAGATGGGAATTGTTAACTTTCAGCCTCTTGGGCCTGGGTCTGATGTTGGCACAGGTCTCTTCCATACTATTCTACTGGCTAAAGCAGTCATACAGTCCATGTAGATGAAAGGGAGGGGACGTGGGCCTCACCTCTGTGGAAGGAGTGTCGAAGAATTTGTGGTCATCTTTAATTTGCTATATATGTGCATATTGTTTTTTTCTTTTTAGTTTGCGGGGAAAATGGGAGTTATGGGTCAAAAAGTCACAGGTTATTGAGCCATAAGAGACTTGAGACCTAATCTAGCGTCTGTGTCCTGCAGATTAATATACATGTATGTGTATATGTGAAATCCAAGTGAGTTACGTGGCTTGCCTTACAGTTAGGAATGTGGAGAAGCAAGTCTCTTGAGACTAGTTTGGGCCTCTTCTTTCTGTACCATACTCATCCTTGAGTCATTCCTACTGAAGCTTCAAGATGAATAAAGTTTTATTTTCCTGTGGAAGAGAGTGGATCCGTCAAAAAGATAAAATAATTTCCACAGGCGAGCACATCTCACAGTGTTTATAGTGTCTTTGATAAGCCACATAGGCTTAGTAACTAAGGCATGAAGAGAAAAATTATTACAAGTATAATCTTCCATTAATTATTCCTAGAGATTACTATTGGATATCTGTTTTGTTTTCAAACTGTCCTTGGTAGTTACTGAAATTACTGTTTTGTTCTACTCATGGCTTATCTCTTCTTGTAAAAAATATTCACAGTGGGTAAAATTTTAGTTGTATTTGGGCTGTATATTTTTGATACTTCGAAGTAATAATGGAGTTTGCAAAGATGAAGGAAAATTATATGTATATTTTGTTTGGAGGAAACCTTTAATTCTATGTGGATATGAGAGCAGAAATCAGTGTTAAGCTTTGTGAGTGATTGCATGAATTACTTTATTTCTTTGCACATCTAAAGTCTTTTAAATATTTAAAATTTTGTAAATATTTACTTACATTTGACCTAAAGATTCTGAGGATAAAACTCAGATCAGCATTCTTCTGATAAAATACCCCTTAAAGATCTTCATACTCTACTGTCAAGGTGCTGCTTAGTCATATGAATGAAATGATGCATTCTAGCATTGTTGCTGCAAGATATCCCCTGAATTTTCAAATCTCTGTGACCACAGGAGCAAATGCTGAAGTGTAGAGACCTGATGTGATGACAATACAAATGTGTTTGCACATTACTTTATTCTGTGGTTTTACAGTGCAAATTAAACTTTTAGGTTGGGAAAATTTCACAGCCCTTCTTTCTGAAATAACTTAGTAGTTTTCCTCTTAAAATAGCTGAGTTGAGAGGGATTTGTTGGTTAGTTAGAAAGTTGGTAAGTGCAGGCTCTGGAGCCTGTTGTGCTTCAAGCGGCTGCTGGTTTTGGTATGCTGTACCCTGTGCACGTTGATAGTAACCAGAGTTACTTAAAACAAGGCAAGACTGAAGTTTTGCCAGGTGTTTTTGATTGGGGGTGAGCATCACTAAGTGTGCTGACTTTCTTCTAGACTGTTGGTGGTGGCGCTGTGCAGGAGAGAGTGCCTGAACTGGATGGTGGTGGATCCCCGGAGCAGGACAAAAGCCATTCTAACAGCAGCACCCTGTCAGACCGAAGACTCAGCAACTCCAGCCTCTGTAGCATTGAAGAAGAGCACCGAACAGTGTATGAAATGGTACAGCGCATTCTCTTGTCAACACGAGGTTATGTCAACTTTGTGAATGAAGTATTTCACCAGGTTAGTGTGTGTGTGTGTGTGTGTGTGTGTGTGTGTGCGTGTGCATGTGTTACAAGTTCTTGAAATGAAAGAGATTTTTGTTTGTGTTTTTTTATTCATAACATTCCAACAAATAGAATTGATGAGTTGGATTATGCTACAGAACTGAATAATAAAGAATGATCCCTGTAATCTTTTAATTTGTGTGCATTTTTGTGATTTTTAAATTTTGTTGTTGAAAATTATTTACACGAGGGAAAATTCTATACTTGAGCAAAATCATGAGACAAATACTTTCATGTTTTTATAACAAAGTAAACCTGGAGGTAGGCGGGAAGAACCATTTCTGAATACCCAGCAACAAATGAGCATAGCAAAGAAGAGTCCAGTCTTGTTCCCAGAGCCTCAGGGAGCTCTCTGAGGAGCTGGAGGTTTCTGTAAAAACTCTGCAGAGGCGTGTGGCACACACAGTATGATAGAATTACTTATGGCACAGGAGAAAAAGGTGGGAAGGGGAATAAAAGGAAAGAAAGCAGAGGCCAAGACAAGAAAAGAGGTGTGAGCAAAGAAAGGAGACAGGAGAGATTAGAAGCCCAGGCTACAGTTAGCGGCCATGAGTGGCATCAGAGGTTTGCAACTGGGGTTGAGGCTACTCCCTAGGGGACATTAGCAGTAACCAGAGTTACTTAAAACAAGGCAAAACTGTCTGGAGACAGTTTTGGTCATCACAACAAGGGGGGAAGTGCTACTGGCATCTTAGCGGGTTGCAACCAGGAGTGTCGTTAAATATCCTGCAATGCCCAGAATGGCCCCCACTTCCACCATGACAAAGAACTGTCTGGTTCAACGTTGTCAGTTGTGCTGCTGTGGAGAAACTCGGCTCTAGACTTCAACACAGCAAGCAGAGCTCCCACAGCTCTAGAGTGTGGCATGTGGCCAGTGCCACTTGATTCTAAGTGGTACTGGTGCTCTTGAAAACAGGCAATGTGGCCTATTTGTGGGTGTGTGTATATGAGGAGGAATAGTTGTTTTCACCCATACACCTGAAAAGTAGTTTAAGCCCTTGAGTGGCAGAGTCCAGTTGTAGGTGAGGAGGAGAGGAAGAATCCTGTACATATGAATGACAGGAATGCACCACAGAAAACTTCTTATGGTGAGGCAAGTTTTGATACAGTGAATGATTGACCCTCTCACTTCTGGGACTTTCATTACAAACAAATCAACCAATAATGAAAGTTACAACATAATCCATAGCAGTGTAGAGATTTTACATATTTTCATTTTAATGAAGAAAAAATTTCACTTGAGAAAATGTTTGTTTAGTCTGCAATGGAAATTCCACTTATAAAATATATTTTTTTTGTTCTGTGGCCCGGCATTGACTTGGTTCTTCTCACTCTTGTGTCTTCTGTTTCATGTGTTGGTCCCTCTTTGTTTCATCCCAAATTACAGGTGTTAACTATGATTCAGGGTTCAAGTCTTTTCTGTAACCCTACACTTGCCTCCTTGGGACCTTTACTGCCCGTCCAGTGCCAGCAACCACTGTGGCATATGGCTCCCAGTCAAGCCTTTTGACTGGACCTCATTTGTAGATAAAAATATTTATTTCATTAAAAAAATTTTTTTTTTATACTCATGAAAGATCCGTTACTGGCAGAGGATACCCAACACCAGCAGCTGGAAAACATAATGTAACACTATGGAGGGTGGGTACACCTGGGCGCAGCTTCGAGGGCCCTCCCTCTGTTGCACAGAAAAGTACCCTCTCAGGACCATGATTCACCAACATGAGAGTGAGATATCTGTCTCAGGGAAGACAGGGCACAGGTTTACCGAGAGGTCTTTTAGACCTCACTAATCACACATCAAAATTCAGGCAGAATGACTGGGTAAACCAGTTACAGACTCTCGGGGTCTACATTTTCACTGAACAATGTAAACAAACTGGCTCTAGGTGCCTCCTACACTTAACTTTTAAAATGCCCACCTGCCATCAAATCTGATGATCCTGTAGTATCTTAATGATAACAAGGACAAAGCATGGCTCATTTTTCCCCCTAATATCAGCTTCCCCTCCTGACTTGACTGATTCTTCAAAGGGACCTGTATTCATGTCTGCATCTTAATTTTAATGCTCCTAGGTTCTCCTCTCCTCCTATGACAGTCACACCTGTCCATGAAGCGCCCCTTCTTCTGTATCATCCCTTTCTAGGTAATAGTGCATACATCATGCTGCCAAAACTTTTTTTTTAAATAATAGTCCGTGATTTTAAAATCTGCCCCATTCCTTACATTAATGTTGTCATACTCATGTCGCTGTTGTACATGTGAAGGTGCAACCAGATAGAAGTCAGTTGATATTAAGGCTAAAGCAAGGGAGGTATGGAAAAGTGCCTTGGGGTGGGGATAGGGACTGACAGAGTAACTATGACAATGGAATCCTTAATTCTTTATTCATTCATTCATTTTTTTTTTTTTTTTTTGAGACAGAGTCTCATTCCATCACCAGGTGCCAGGCTGGAGTACAGTGGTGTAATCTCGGCTCAGTGCAACCTCTACCTCTTGGGTCAAGCAATTCTCCTGCCTAAGCCTCCCCAAGTAGCTGGGACTACAGGCGCGCGCCACCACACCCAGCTAATTTTTGTATTTTCAGTAGAGACGGGGTTTCACCATGTTGGCCAGGATGGTCTTGATCTCTTGACCTCGTGATCTGCCTGTTTTGGCCTCCCAAAGTGCTGGGATTACAGGTGTGAGCCACCACGCTCGACCTTTTCATTCATTCTTAATGAAAATTCTGAATTTTACTTGAATTTAACAGAAGAAAAGACAATAAAAGAAAACTGAAGGAAGTGTTGAAATCCAATGAACATTCCTTTACCATAAGAAATATTAATTACTGAAAGATTTGTCTAAGCTTAAAAAGATTATAATAACATTGAGGTGTTGGAATCACTTTTGAACTACATGTGGTAATTTTAGATGGCACTATGGGTTTCCTACTATGAAATATAAAGAAATTAGCAGCCATGTATTTTCTTTAGCCCCCTCTATTTACTAATTTTATTATATTGTACGTTTATGTTATAAATGTACTGTCATTGGCAGTTGATTTCAAATCCTAATGAGCAGAGTTGTTTAGTCTTGCTTCTGTATTTACACAGATTCATTCCTCCTGTTCTATAGTTCTAAAATACTTACTTTTCTTGCTAGGCCTTGTTTTGTCATTGAATGTTTTCAGGAGGATGTCCTGGAATGCTTATACCTTAAGTCCTTTTATGATGGGGAAGGTTTTTCTTTTGCCTTTGTGTATGAACAGCAGCTTAGCTGGGTATAATGATCTCGGGTCACTTTTTTCCACTTGGGAATTTGTAAGTCAAAACTTTTCTAGACCTAAAAATCAGAAAAAAACGGGAAAATCTCTTCAATTGTGTAATTGAGACTTTAGAATAAATAGGTTTAGTATATTTAAAGAAATAAAGAAATAAAAGACACCAAAATAGATGATGAATGCAGATTAGGAAGAAAATAGAACTTCCAGACATTCAAAAAAATGTAATAACTGGAATATTAAAAGAAAACCTAAATGGGTCAGTTTAATAATAGATTAGATGCAGCTGAGGAGAGAATGAGCTGGATGACAAATCTGAAGAAATGATCCTGAGTGCACCTCAGAGAGACGGAGAGGTGAGAACTTTGAGAGATTGAGACCTGGAGGATCTGGTGAGAAGGTCTGACCGGTGCTCATGTCTCCTCTAGCTACATTCTTTTTTTGCTTACTGCTCTACCACTTTTGGAGAGTATCCTACTTTTGACTGTGGATTTATCTATTTAGTTTTTGCTCTATTTTTGGCAAAATTATTAGTTGCAGTACAGATTTAGATTATTTTATATTCCTTTGAATTGAGTGTTGTCATTAAGAAGTTTCTATATTCATCTGGTTTTGGGTGGCGGGGCACAAAGTCTGTCTTGTCTATTTTTAATATAGCTCTACCAATTTTCTTTTGGCTAGTGTTTGTAAGGTCTATCTTTTGCTAACTCTTTACTTTCAGCCTCCCCCATCCATATGTTTTAGATGTCTTCTTATAAATTGTAGCTAAGTCTTTTAAATAGATTTTTAAATCCAATCTTAGTCTTTTGATTGGATGATTATTCATTACATTTAACATAGGAAGTGCTGTTAGGTTTAAGTCTGCTGTCTTCTTACTTTCTAATTGTATTGGATCTTCAAGCTCATTGTTTTTAATATCCCGTTTGCTTTCTCAAATTAGTAGTTTTACAGTCATTTGTACTTATTTTAATAGTTAACACATGCCTTCCTAGCTTAAAAGCTAGCATTAATTCTAACTTTTACCCTCAGTATACATGTTAGCTCCATTTACTCCTCAGTTTATTATAAATATATATAATACATAGATATTATTCCTTTCAGAACCACTATAAAGTTTGTTTCATCCAGTTTTATTCTTTTATATATATGTATGTCTTCATATATATGTTTTATTCATTTAGATTTATCCACATTCTCTCTCTCTCTCTCTCTCTCTTTTTTTTTTGAGGTAGAGTCTCGCTCTGTCAGCCAGGCTGGAGTGCAGTGGCGTGATCTCAGCTCACTGCAACCTCTGCCTCCCGGGTTCAAGCTATTCTCCTGCCTAAGCCTCCCAAGTAGCTGGGACTACAGGCACATGCCACCATGCCCAGCTAATTTTTTGTATTTTTAGTAGAGAGAGGGTTTCACCATGTTAGCCGGGATGGTCTTGATCTCCTGAACTCATGATCCACCACCTTAGCCTCCCAAAGTGCTGGGATTACAGGCATGTGCCACCACAGCTGGCCCGCATTTTCTTTGTATTGTATTTTATTGCTTCCCAAATCTCTGACCAGGGGAAATTTCCCTTCTATCTAAAGAATAAGTTTTAATATTTCCCTTAGCTCAGGTTTCTTGGTAACAAATTTTCTCATCTGAAAATGTCTGTAGTTTGCTTTCATTTTAGAAGTGTTTTATTTCTGGGTGTCAGATTCTGCACTGGTAGCCCTCTGCACGTGAATCTTTTGTTCCATTATTTCTTGGCTTCCATTATTTCTTTGACAAGTCATGGAAAGCCATGTGGTTGCTCTTTTGGAAGAAATATGTCTTTTTTCTTCTGGCTGCTTTTCAGATTTTTCTGATTATCTTTGATTTTCAGCAGTTTTACCTGTAATATGCTTCATATTTTTCCTTGTTTTTCTTTGTGACTCTTAAATCCAGGGATTGATATATTTCACTCATTTTGGCTAAATTCTCAGCCACTCCTTCTTCAAATATTGTTTCTTCCCCTCATCTTTTTTTCCTTTTTTTCTGCATCTCCAGTCATTCAAAAGATAATTTTTTCATTGTATTTTCTCTCTCTTATCCTCTCTTCTGATTTATCCGTTCTTTCATTTCTTCATAGTTCATTCTAGATATTTTCTTCTGATTTTTCTTCCAGTTTTCTCTTCAGCTGTGTTCATTCTATCCAACCCATATATGCTGCATTTTTGAGTTATTTTATTTTAAAATCCCATTACTTAGGCTTTTGATACCACCATTATTTTGATACTGATATATTGCATGAACCCTTGTTAAAGTGAGTACTGCCTGTAACTGGATCCTGTGGCGTGAACCTTAAGAGCAGTATTAAAACAAGTCCCAGCAACTTGAGACCAACACCTGGATTTGTGGCTAACTTTGTAAACTTGGAAGAATACCTCTGGTGCTGTAAGCCTCGATATCCTAGTCTGTGACATTACAGCATTTGAGTATGGGGTACCTTTTTTCTTGTTCTCCTTGACTATAGAAATAGTCCTTAAAATTGATAAGCAAAAGGCTAATGCATTTCGCCTTTAAATTCTTTAACATTTTTGGAATCTTCTCACATTAAATCAAAATGGTTGTGTGTAGATGTATAAGGGAATTCCTCAATGTTAAAAAGTTCTTATAAATAGGCGTTATGCTGCAACTTGGCCAGAGGCTCTTGTTAACATTGACAGCCAAACTCATTAGTAACCTGATAAAGGTGACCTGATACATGTTTCTCAAAAAAAATAATAACAAAAAAGAAAGGAAGGAAGGGAAAGGAAGCAGGACAAAAGCAAAGAAAAGGGGGAAAAAAAGGAAGCAAACTCTTGATTTGTAACGGTTGCTAACTTCTGTGGTAGAACCACTGCCACCATACCTGATTCAGGCCAACACCCTGACATCAGTGAACATGGAGCTGAGAAGAGACGGGCACAATTATTTGCCACTGGCTGTACAAGTATGTCCCTTCTAACCTATTTCTGATTTGTTGGGAAAAGTTCCAAGTTGTGCATTATAATTGTGTTTTGTAGCCAATTAAAATATTTCTATAGGTATGATTTGGTTATATTTGTAGAAAAACTATTCAGAATATGTTTTTTTTTTTCTTTTTTCTTTTTTCTTTTTTTGAGATGGAGTCTTGCTCTGTTGATCAGGCTGGAGTGCAGCGGTGTGATCTCGGCTCACTGCAACCTCCACCTCCCAGGTTCAAGTGATTCTCTTGCCTCAGCCTCCTGAGTAGCTGGGATTACAGGTGCATGTCACCACGCCCAACCAATTTTTGTATTTTTAGTAGAGGCGGGGTTTCACCATATTGGCCAGGCTGGTTTCGAAGTCCTGACCTTAGGTGATCTGCCCCACCTTGATCTCCCAAAGTGTTAGGATTACAGGCATGAGCCACCATGCCCGGCCTATGAAAGTTATTTTTAATGGCCATTTTTTGGGAGTTCTTTTATAAGAATGTCTTTGTTTCTGCAGGTAAGTTTGGTGTGCACAAAGATATGTGGCCCTATGTAGAGTTTACAGTGTTTACAGGCTATATGTTCCACAGGAAAGTGAAATTGGTGATGGTCATTGGAAATGTCCATGATGCTGCCCTATACTGGTCTGAGTTTGAATGTAGTTAAAGAGTTTTCTCTTTTCCTTTCAGGCATTTTTGTTGCCTTCCTGTGAGATAGCTGTAACAAGAAAAGTAGTTCAAGTGTACAGAAAGTGGATTCTCCAGGACAAACCTGTATTCATGGAGGAGCCAGATAAAAGAGAGGTTGCCCAAGAAGATGCTGAAAAATTAGGATTTTCCGAGACTGATAGCAAGGAGGTAATTTTTTTCACTTGTGTTTTGAGTTGAGGGTAAATGTATTTTATTAAAGTATACCTGCTCAGTCAAGAGTCTTGTCAATGGGGCAAAGGCAGGTGGATCTCTTTTTGATCCCATCTGATGCTTCTGAATTGCTGAGTTCTGTGAGGATCTACCTTAGAGAGTAGCTTCTGTACTCCCATTCTAGATTGGCAGTCATCTCCTGCAACTCTAGCCAGGGCCATCTGCAGGTTCCATCTTTGTTTCGTCTTCACTGTCACAGGAGAGTTGTTTAATAAGCCATCAAATTTTACATGTCTGTGAGACTGAAAAAAATCACTGCCTTCTCCTTGACTTGTTTAAATAAATATCATTAGGAGAAACTAAATTGAGAATGTTTGGGCAGACTTTTCTTGTGCAGTGGCCTGTACCAGAAATAGCTGGGTGTTACCCCTGTGAAAGGACTAACCAAATAGCAGTTTCCCTCCCCGGTTAGCCTCGCTGAGTGCTGGCCTCCTGGAGGGGCCACTGCCTATGTTAGATAGAGCTATAGTCTGGATAAATCCAAAATGACAGAGTAGAACATCTTCCTGAAACAAAAGAAACTTAAGTGGTATTTATATTTCTGACATACTATTATGAAATTAATTAAAAATGTTTAAAAATTTTTACTAGAGGCATATCACTTTAAAATATCTGTTAATTCCATAATTTAAAATTTTCAGTATTGGTGAACTCATTTTAATAACTATCATGAGATCTAAATGAACAGGTAGGCAAATTACTTAATCACTCATTTTAGAGGTCTGTATTCCATGCTCACTCAATTATTGGACAAACACAACTCATTCTTTCAGCACATACTAAGTGCTGAGCACTATCTTAGGTGTTGATGGTTGAGTGCGGAGCATTCTAGCTCCTAGAACCTATTTTCATGTGACTCTTGGTGAGTTTAAGGAATTAATTATGCAAACTAAATATAAGTTAGTTCATATATTTAATTATGCTTATAATGAAATGTAAGTTAAACATGTGCATCTTCCACTCTGTTAATGGATCATTATCTTCTGAAGGCCTCGTCTGAAAGTTCTGGTCATAAACGATCTTCCAGCTGGGGCCGCACATACTCCTTCACAAGTGCAATGAGCAGAGGATGTGTGACAGAGGAGGAAAATACAAATGTGAAAGCTGGCATCCAGGCTTTGTTGCAGGTATTATGTGGCTGGCCAGGACATGAAGACCCCTCCACCCCCTGCAGCTGGAGCCATTTTGAACATTTTGTTTATTGGGGATAATGTCATATAAAGTATGGTGGTATTTGTAGCCATCTGTCAGTAAACAATAAACAGCAGTTTAATTAGCTATTAAATTCTTATTCTGTTTTCTTTCTAATTCCTACCCACAATTTACAAAAATCTTTTTCTTGTCAGAGAACACATAAGAACTGGTTGCAGTTTTTTTGAGAGAGATTATTATATAGTGAATGTGAAATGACTGAGATTTAAATCTTAAAATTATCTTCTGAACACACATGGGTAGTTAGTTATCTGGGCTCTAATTTGCAAGACAAGGTTGGTGACTATAAAATCTTTTAAGTAATATTGCTCTTAAAATTGCCTGTGTTTATGAAGAAAAGTGACTGATGTAGTTTTTAGATATTTGAATGAATATGCGAAATAGAGCTGACACCATTTGGGAACATTTGAAAGAGCAACTTTGGATCATTACTTAATCTCCCCAGAGGTCAAGATTTTACCTTAAAAATGGGAATTAGGAGATTTTCTCTCAGGTCTCCTGTAACTTGAAGGTTCCTAGCAGTATAAGTGAAAATACAGGGTGCCTCTCATTCCCTGCTCACTGCCTCCTCACCCACCACCCTTCATCCATGTTTGTAGCTGTGTCACTTAGGCCTCCCATGTAGAGGCCAGGTGTGGGGTCTGGGGAAAGTCTGGGAATGACATAAATGTTTCTATTTTCTGTCATCTGTTTCTTGATAGGTATCTTTTTTGTTTTCAAGTGAATTAACAGTTTAACTTATCATGCTCATGAATTTTCTCACTTTTCATTGAAAACCTACAAATAATTTTGAAGTTAACTTAAAAAAATTGACATGATTTTACTTGTGCCTCTTTAAAGACCTTTGGAGCAGCTCATAAATATGACCTGTGTCCCCATCAGAGAAACTCTTGGAGTCCTTGCCCTTTGTCCTTCAGTAGCTCTGTTCCTTAGCTAAAGGGGTCTCCATTGCCAGCGTGTGGTGGTTGCAGGTGTCAGTGATCGCCTAGGTTCAAAAGAGTTTGCTATTTATTTTCTGAAAGGATGAGTTACATCTACAGTAAGTCCTCACTAATGTCAACAGTGGGTCCTTGGAAATGACTACTTTAAATGAAATGAGTACAGCAGGTCTTTGAGTAACATGATTTGATTCAACATAATTTGTCATAATGTTCATGAGAAAAAAAATGGTTTTGCTGTATTTTGCTTAATGTTACCATTTCCAACAACCTCTCGATGACATTAAATGAGAACTTACTGTCCTTGGCTGAACTGAGAAAAAAAAATCTCTATTTTATTATATATAGTGCTACATTTAAAAAGATACTTACTTTGGATTTAAGTAGTTGGTTTTGTTCTGGTATCTAATACCTCGGTCCTTTACTTTGTTTATTAAGAAAAAGGGGCCAAATGGAGGTTTGATAAGATAATAGTTTTCTTTCTTTTTTCCCACTGTGTCCCAGATGCTTTTGACAAGTGCAATCTGGAAATATTAATTTAGTTTATTTTTACCTTAACTTACACGAGCACATTAATAAGAAATACTCATGCAGTTGGCATTTTGATGTTTTATAAAAAGTAAAAGTGTATAAAGACTCCTTACATGAGAATGTGCAAAAAGTTTTTAATTCACATTCAAGAAGTCACATATATTGAATTAAAAGGATCTGTGTTGCCATATATCATGTGTGGTATACTTCTTTCAAAAACAACCACTAAAATGACACTAAAACTGCTATGATCAAAAAGCTCTTTGTTTCTGTTTTTCTTACTTGAAGGCTAGTAAATTCTTCACAACTGATGTTATCACCATCATCAACTATATTATAGAGCTTATTTAGTGGTTTTTCTTAGAAAATTGGGACATTGTACCTTTTAATCTTACATAAGCTAACTTTAAAGTCTGTGAACGTTTTAGTTCATTCATTGGACTTCTGATTTTAATTTTAATTTGGTCAGATTTTACATTTATTTTGATACAACACTTTAAAGAATTTTATTTGTAAATGAGCTAGAGAAGCTCCTTCATCCTTTGAGTTTGTGCTGTTGAACACAAAGGAGACGTAAGAGGAAATATACCTCTCAGTAGAGAGAGTAGGTCTGTCCTCATACCAGATTGACAACTCAGAATATCTGCAGATGATGGGGCACGGGTGTCATCTGTGTAAATGGTAACGCACCATTATTTCGCTGTAGTGATTCTAAGCAGTGATAGTATATGATATCCTGGATCAGTGCTTCCCACGTTTTTCTGCTAAGATACCCCTGTTGGTAGGGAACAGTGAACTGGTATCGGAAAGGTCTGAGACAGAGGGTAGAGTAGTTGAGTGATTATCTAAATTGTTTTTGAAATCTCAGTTTTTAACCCTAAGAATTCACTTAGATTTTGTTTGCTACTGCATAATCTATCGTTGATATTTAAAAAAAAAAAAAAAGGCTTCTGGAAGGCGTACGATGTGGATGGCTTCTTCTGTTTCTGAGCACACCACAGCTCCTTGAGGTTCTTACCCCTGTTGAGTGGTGCTGTCCGTGCTTCTGTCAGCAAGGAGCTCATGCGCTGGAAGACTCAATAGGAGTCCCATAGTTCTGTCTAATCACTGTCTGGCCATCCATCCTCTTCTCCCATTTCCCCCCTAAAGTTTTCACTCAGATGCAACGAGCCTACTTTTTCCCCTCATTTGTTGTTGTTGTTGTTGAGGGGTTGTTGAAAAGCTTTTCTGATTCATAAAATTTCTGTACTTGCAATACTAATATGTAATAGTGATGTTTTTCCCCTAGGAAAAGGCTTTTCAGGTGTCTCAGTATTTAAATGATTCTAAAGGGTGAACTAAAAAAAATTTTGAATATGTTTTGGTACCACTTACCTTAAGGAATTTTTGCCTTATTGTGAATTTATGTGTTGGTACCACCTGCCTTATCGAAATAGAATCTTTTGGAAATAACTCAAAGATGGTTTCCTTGGTAGAGTGAAATTAATACCATCTTTAAGCAAAATTTATTCAAATGTATATGTTCAGTTATGTTTTCTAATGTAAAATTGTTGATTTTAAGGTATTTTTGACGAACTCTGCAAACGTCTTTTTGTTGGAACCATGTGCTGAAGTTCCTGTGCTCTTGAAAGAACAAGTTGATGCTTGTAAAGCTGTTTTGATTATTTTTAGGCGCATAATAATGGAGCTTACGATGAATAAAAAGACATGGTAAGTTTATATCAAATGAATTAGTCTTGTAAAACAGATGTTTTTGTTTTTCAACTTAATTAAAATGTTAAGGAGTCCATTTATTTAATGGTTTTACAAAGTTAACAAAATGTCTTTTGTAACAGTTTCTGTGAATTATGAAGGAGGTAGTTGCTCAGTACGTTGATAGATCAATTATTTTCATTATTGTTTTAAAAAATGTTCTTGAACAGTAAGCAGTTATTTTACTTAATAGTGGATTTTTCCATTTTAAACTTTTATCAAACATAGTTTTATGGAAAAGCAGTAACTGGTGTTTTATAATACTCGTCATAAGCTCAGGAGAGTTTGTTAATTGCCCTGAAATGCTTTCATCTGATTTTTATTGCTTCAGACTTGATGTTTTAAATTCATTTTGGAAAAACACTAAATACATAGTTCAGTCAAAAATATGTTCCTGTCATTAAAACTACAAAATTTTGTCCTTTTAATCTTCATTTTTGTTCAGTGTTTTTATTTGTAATGTCCCTACAGGTAAACAATGCATTAGATTTTTTTTCCTGCTCTTCTCTTATTTGAAAGTCATCACATTACTCCATCTGATGAGGCATTTTCAGTATGCTCAACAGACCAGAAATCCTCAGAGTCACTTTCCATTCCTTCCTCTTCTCCTCATGTGTCATCAGCCTCTCAGTTCTGCCTTTAAAACGCTCCTCAAGCCTGTCCTTTGTGCGTTCCCTCTTATTCTGCCGCCGCCCTTGTGCAGTCAAGCTGCCCACCCAGCTGTGGTCAACAACCCCCTAGGTGATCTTCTGCCTTGGCTGCCAGTCCTTGGAGGCCCTGCAGACCAGTGGCACCTTCCCTACCTGAAATCAGAGGGTTTCTTTGCCCACGCCTATATTCTGGAGGTCCTGAGTCAGCAGGAAAGGGACTTTAGAAAGTGTCTGCAGTTGGTAGGAAACCATGGACACGATGCAGGTCTGATCTGAAAGGAACTGCAGACCACCAAGTCCAATTCTTTTTCTTCAAGGATGAGGGAAGGGTGGGCTCAAGAATCTTGGTGTGCAGAAAGTTCACAAGTACAAGAAACCACAGCCATCAAAATGATACTATGATGTAGATTCTAATGTCATCTTTCCCAGACTTCTAACTTAGCACTATTTGCGAAGTTAAGCAATTGTTAAAACTGGAAGTATAACAGTGATGCGCAATATAATGTAAACAAAGTTAAATTCCACATCAGTAATATTGACAGTAATGGAGAAATGCTGGCGTATGCTTTCAACTGAAATATCTGTTCTTCAGTACCATAGTTTTATCAATGTTACTTCTAATGTCTTTTCCTTTGAAAACTCCCTGAATTCTATATACCACTGTATCAGTGATATTTTTGATAATCTTTTTATTTTGGTGAAAATTCTAGGAAATAAAATTAAGTAATTCTGTTTTTTACTAATTCATAGATACCTAGGTAAACGTATAGAAAAGAAAAATTGTAGAAATCAATGAAAATAACAGGAAAATGGTCAGTAGAGCATAGAAAGGAATGTGAGCAGTTTCTCTAAAAGATTTTCTTGTGTATTTAAGTATGAGAAAATGTCTTGCCTCCCATTCCTCCTTTCCTTCCTCACTCCCTTTTCTCCCCATCTCTCCTTACCTCCTTTTCTTTCATCTAATAAATAATTATCAAGCTTCTACTATGAGAATATAGTGGTAAACTATGTAGACAAGGTCCCTGCCCTTACGAGGTTACATCCTCATAGGAGCGAGAGGCATTAAAAACCTAGGAAACAATTTCAGAAAATCTGAAGTGCTGAGAACAGTGAAGTCTGGAAAGGGAAAAGAGTCCTGAACTGGGTGTGTGTTGCTTGGCATGGAGGGAGGGGGAGTTATTTCTGTCAGTTGTCAGAGAAGGCCTTTCTGAGCAGAGCCCTAAGTGAAGGAGGAGCCTTGGGGAGGTCTAAGGGAAGGGCATTCCTGGTAGAAAGAACAGATGCAGAAGCCCTGGTGGGAGAAAAGGTAAAAGAAAAGTGGCTTGTTTAAGGAAGGACAAGATGATGGACAGTGTGGTGGAGTGGATGGAGTGTGGAGGTTGGAAGGGGAAGGCCAGGGCCAGGTTGCTTAGGACCTTGCAGACCAAAGAAAGGACACCAGCTACCTCTCTGTGTATGCGCAAGAGTGTGACATAGTACAATTTACATTTCTGAAAGGCCCCTTTGGCTGCTGAAGAACATGCAGTGGAGTGCCATAGATGATGATGGCTGAGACCAGGGCTGTAGCCAGGGAACTGTAAGAAGTGGTCCTGAAGTAGAGAATAACTGGTATGTAAATGAGTCAGAATGTCACCTGTTTGAGGAGATAGAGATCAGGTAAATAATGAAGAATGTAGGAAAACCCTCACCCCCGTGTTGGACCCAAGGATGGCACACAGGCCTGATTCCGTGTGCTCCAACAGAAGTTTGATACACTCTGAACAGTTTTCCTCGGAGAAGTTAGTGCTTCACAAAATAGAAGGGACCAAGCGGTTATCAACACTGGCAGCTTTGGCAGGTCATGAATCTTTCTACCATTAGGAAAGAGTTTTCCAAACTATAGTTTTCCACCCTCATTTTTTTCCAGAATGTCATGCCTTTCCAAGCTTTCATAGGTTCAAAAATCAACTTACTGTGTTTTTGTCAGTCATGGCTTCAGTCACATTTGTAGCTTTTGATAACAGTTGCCATGATCAAGGTTTTACTTGAAATTTATGATGTCTGCTGTTCTCATTACATTCTCATGATGTGTATGTAACTAGTTGTATGCAAGGGATTGTTTTTCATTGTTTTGTGCATCATGTAACATGAACAGGCAGTGTGATACTGGGTGCTGCCCTTCTTTCCCCCAGCGGCAGGGGCCTGGGTACCCTGAATATGGCAACAGGCTGTCCCCACACTGTGCCATTTCTTCTCCCAGTTCTCTTCAAAGTCACTGTCCTACTTCATACATGTGTGCCCAGAAGATAGCCCTTCCTCTTCTGTGCTTCTATAAGCCATAGACAGGGAATAGGAGCACATAGACAAGTAGCATGGAGTGCAGTGAGAATGTATGCCAACAGATGACTCTGGGGACGAAAATCAAATGGCACCAGCTACAGAGAGGGCAGGAAATCCCTACAGGTGATTTTACTATGAGGAATTTAATTACGTTCAGCATCATATTGTTAAGAGAAAATGTTCTTCTGATATGCAGAGATAGGAGAAAAGTATACAGAAACTATGATTTAGAGATCTCATCTGATTACTTTGTCCTATTCTCAGTTTTATTACTGGAGAAGAATAAAACCAAGGAGAAAGTAGTAAAGATTAGATGGATGGTTAGCATGTGAAACCTGAAAGGAACTAGAGTGATTTCCTTTGGAGAACAAGTGTACCTCTCTTACATATGAAAGATAATGTGTCCTCTGTTCTCATGGAATCCAGGGAAAGAAAAAGTGAGCAGATACTCTGATATGAGCAATGTAACTTAGGTGTAAGAAAGAAAAATGTCTTTTGGCTGTTCTGAAGAACGTACTGTAATTAGTAGTGGTATGTTGTCTCTATACTGTTTTGCAGTCTTCAAAGTCCTTTTACATAAAACCACCTGTGAGAGAATACAAAAATGCGGACACATTGGAACTGAGCTGCAGTGATGACATTTGTCTCTGTTGTGCCCTGTAGCTCATAGTCAGGATCTTCCAGACACGAGCACCGTGCCTGTAGGTGTCCTGTAATGCAAACCCCTTGTGCCTGTTAGAGTACTGTGGCATTCCACCATACCAAGATACCGACTGCATATGTTCCCAAAACAAAGACCAGAAAGTCAAGTTCATTTCCTGTTGCAAAGATAGGGAGACCTTACAGGTTAAATAAAACAATTTATAGCAAAATTAAAGAGGGCCGCATACGTTCCAGTAGGTTTTCATTGAGTACCTTTAAGGTGCTGGCACAGTTGGAGAAGACAATCTTGCCCCCCTTTTTGCAGGAAGAAAAAATCAGGCTGGAATGATATGTTTTATCCTGCCTGTTTGTGTGGACATGGGAGGCATATTTTTACAACTGTTGTAACATATGGGAGCTTATTTTGATAAAATATGATATTCATTATGTAATTGGCATCTGGACTTTAATAGTTTTGAGTAATATATGATTATCAATGTTGCTGAATTCTTAAGAGATTTCTAGTATCTATAAAGTGCTTTGGAGACGTGATTATTAATATGAGCTTTTATTTTGGGTGGCCCAGGGAACAGATGTTGCAAATACTACTCAGGATAACAGAAGCTGTCATGCAGAAGCCAAAGGATAAACAAATAAAGGACTTGTTTGCCCAGAGCTTGGCAGGGTTACTATTTAGGGTAAGTCTTTTTAATTAAAACACTGCAAACCCAAGAAGTGAATCAGATTTTATAGCAAACTAGTTTTAATCATTGAGAATTTTAAGAGTAATATTAAATTTAAATTTCTAGAAATTTTCTTTCTTACCTTTGTCCTGAAGGTTATGATCTGTTATTTACTATTAGTGCTGGGCTTTTAGACTTTTCTCCCTCTCTGCAGTCTACTTCCTCTTTTGATTTGCTCACGGGTGGTAGGAATTTGGAAGCTCTGATGCCCTTGGTGGAAGGCCAGGTAGATTTGGAGAGGTAAAGGATGAACAGAAGCATGGGAATGGGATAAAAATTTAAGAGCCATCAGTGTGTTGAGCAATTGTATTTAAAGCCACAGGATAGGCTTACCTAGAGACGACAATCTCCACGGGTGATGAAAGAGACGCTGAGAAAGGGTGGCCAGTGAGTGAGGAGGAAAACCAGAGAAAGGTATATCCTGGGTCCCTGGGGATGAGTATTGTGTAGGAGGAGAGCAGCCAGTTGACCATGGGCTTTGACAGAGGTGGGTGGTTGAGAATGGTCTATGGGAATGAGGCCCACCTGGAATAGATGGAGGAGAAAATGAGAGCTGGGCAGTGGGGGTTGCAAGCATAGTGAAGGCTTTGCAGAGTTCTTAACGTGGAAAGAGGGTAAAGGGGAGCTAGCTGAAGTCAGTGGCATGCATAGGGGGTGAGGCTTAAGGTGGGTAGTACTAAAGTATGTTTGCTCACCAATGGGATGGTCCTGTGAGGGAGGACAAGATGGTCTGGGGGAGACAGAGGATAACTGTAGAAGTGAAGTCCCGGATATGGATATGGTAGAGGATTGGGCCAGTCTTTGATGTGAGCAGAGAGCCAAGGAGACAGCTGTGCTTTTTGCATCTCACGTGGTAAGCACGTCAAGATCATGAGCAGGCTGATACCTGGTGAGCTGCATGGGGAAGAGGATGTGCCAGAGGGTCCTGAGCATGGGAACCTACTGTGACTTTGCTAATATGTTTGAGGACCTTAGAGTTTATGAAGCATTACTGAAAGAAAACAGTGTGAAAGGGCTCTGGAAAAATGCAGCATTCTACCTAAATAAAGATATTAGTATGGTGGGTGGACCTGACTTTGTATAATTCCACAGGTGATAGTTGCAAGGAAGAGAAACTAACTTCCCTCCTCAGTTGACCTGAAGGTGGTTTTAGAGGATGTATGTTAAGAGCGTATTCATAATACAGGTGGGACATGTAGGTAAAAGTGACGAGAGAAATTATTTCTTTAAAGCTAAGTGTTGTCATTGTAACACAAGAGAATTCAACTGTTAATTTTGAATAACTTAATATGATTCAATGCTCTTGGCTTGATAAAAAAATGTATGAGAGGCTATTGAAATAATTGGCCTCCTAAATATTAGCATTACTTTAACTCTGATTGCCTTGCCTCGTATACTGGATGTGTGAAGTGGCCCTAAGCATTCTTTTGCATGTGTCCAGCTTTGCTCTGCTGATGCCTGGACGGTGCTACTGACCACTAGTTTGCTGCCTGCCTGGACATACCGACACTGCTCACTTTGCTGTCTCAGCGAAGTGTCTCACTGTTGGCACCCTTTCAAGCTCTCCGTTCTGGACCTGGGTTACGAAATAGACATGAGCTGAAGCCAGTTTCACACTGGCAGGTGCTTGGGCCTCGTTCCCACCAACTGCCTGGCCCTGAATCTGTTTTGTGTGTCAGAATTAGAGAAATTGTCACAGAATTAAACAAGAATCTATTCTGGGGTTGGGTTTGTTTTGTTTTGTTTTGATTTTGGTTGGTTTTAGTCTTTGTGTGTGGGGGGGGAACTCCCCCCATGAATGGAGAAAACCTTGTCAGATATTACCTGAAGCTTAGTTTTGAGTTCATGATTACTAATGATTTTGATGTTGTTATTTTGGTAGTGGTCGGGTAGATCAAGAATGATGCTTAAATTAAGAACTAACCATAAGGTTTGGCATGGTGGCTCACACCTGTAATACCAGCACTTTGGGAGGCTGAGGCAGGAGGATTGCTTGAACCCAGGAGTTCAAAACCAGCCTGAGTAATAGAGTAAGACCCTGTCTCCACAAAATTTTTTAAAAAAATTTGCTGGCTGGCCGGGCGCGGTGGCTCAAGCCTGTAATCCCAGCACTTTGGGAGGCCGAGGCGGGTGGATCATGAGGTCGAGAGATCGAGACCAACCTGGTCAACATGGTAAAACCCCGTCTCTACTAAAAATACAAAAAATTAGCTGGGCATGGTGGTGCGTGCCTATAATCCCAGCTACTCAGGAGGCTGAGGCAGGAGAATTGCCTGAACCCAGGAGGCGGAGGTTGCGGTGAGCCGAGATTGCGCCATTGCACTCCAGCCTGGGTAACAAGAGCGAAACTCCGTCTCAAAAAAAAAAAAAAAAAAAAAAAAAAAAAATTTGCTGGCTGTAGCAGTATGCACCTGAAGTTTCAGTTACTTGGGAGCTAAGGTGGGAAAATTGCTTGAACCTGGGAGGTTGAGGCTAAAAGTGAGCTATGATTGCAACGCTGTACTGCAGCCTGGTCAAAAGAGTGAGACCTTGTCTCAAAAAAAAACCAAAAACCTACCATAAAAAACAGTGAAGAGAGGATGAGCTTTTTGGTGTTAGGCAGATTGTGCTTCTGATCTCAGCTCTACTACTCCCTGGCTATGTGGCCTTGAGCACATGAGTCTGTCCATTGGGATTCGTTATCATCTGTTGGCCTCCCACGTTCTTATGTGAGATGCAAGAGGCGAGAGTAGTAAAGGTCTGGACTTACCAGGCAGGCTGTCTCTCGGGCACCGTCCTGGTCCCATAATGCAGTTAAAACGTGTTGTCTAATTAGTATTCATTTGGTCATGTGGACTGTCTAAAATGGCCAGACACTTGATTTTTTTTTGAAACATTTATAACAAGGAGACTGTGAAAAAGGATAGGACATTTTAAGTTTTTATTACCGTTTTTATCTTTTTCTAGGTCTTCCTCTAGTGTGTGTTTGTGTTTGTTTTTGTTTTTTTTCCTCTGTCAGTAGATAATCTGGGTCACCAAATTTTCTTTAAGTGATGATTGAATTTGACTTAGTTTTAACTATTTACCAAATAATGATGGTTGCCCTAAGTGGTGTTTTAATTTATTATCAGTGCTAAATATGACCTTATGCTTGAAGCTCTGATGGTATATCAGGAAACTATGGCCCTGCTATTTGTAATATTAGCCATTACTTTAAAGTTATGCAGTCCCCTTAATGTGTTGGTAGAATGAAGTAGGAAGTGGTTGGTTAGCAAATGTTCATAAGAAAAGGAATGATTTATGAGTCAAGGTGTTTTTAAAATACATCTTGCAGGCCAAGATGTATCTGATAAAACATAAATTTCAGTGCTGAAGGAACCTTGGAGAAGCTCTTATGCAACTCTTATTTTAAATGAGAAATGTGACTACAGAAAGGCTAAGTGACTTTCCTAGGTTACAAACCAGGGTAGAGTAGAAAGAAGAGTCCAGGCTGTTTGTTTTCCTCTTCCTTTTAGAAAATGGTAATTGATTAAAAGGATACCCTGCCTTCATGTCCACAGGTGCCACCACTCACCACCCAACTATATTTTATCATTTTACCATTTTGTTCTGTGCAAGTGTTGTCAGTTGTGAATTATGATGATAATTCAACAAGCCTGCATACATGTTTGTAATATTTGCTAAGTTGATTTTATAAGCTGCAAGCAGTCATTCTGCCCTTGTTTTATAATTAGTCAATGAAATGAAGCCATTACAAGATCCCCAGTATAGAGCATCTCATTACAGCAAGGCGTCTGCTTTTATCCATGGACCTAACACTATATCCAAATGTGCGTCTGAGTCCTAATAGCGTTACCAGTCTCTACTTTCTCCTCTTACTCAGCTCAGATTATATTTTGATCTAATACTTATTAATTTTATTGTATATATGTACTTTATGGCAATGGCCTCAAATTCATCTTGAAAGCAGGGAGTGTAAAAATTAATAGAAGATGGCATTTTAGTTATTATAAAAATATTTAATAAAGATTAATAAAATTATTTTCTTTCTTTTTTTAATTGTATAAAATTCATACATGTTAGAATCAGGTTTTAAATATAAGTGGTTAATATCTTGTTTTTGATATCATTAACTACTTGAGTTCTACTTTAACATTTTTACTTTTTAAAAAAGTGGTAAACACAAATTGAAACAGATAACACGATTTTCAAAGTGATCAGAACAGGCCTGCCTGATTTTATAGACTTATTTCTGTTTATCAAAGTTTTCCCATGTCTATGTTAAAGAAAAAATTCTATTAAAAAGTCTGTATATAATTTTGGGGAAAAAATTAAAAGGTGAGCTGACCTACACACATAAAAATTCCTGACAAGAGTGGGAGCCTATTTGCATCTAGGTTGGGTCGATGCAAATGCAAACTGGCATCTTAACAACTGCATGTATCTTTGACAACATACCGTAGGACTTAGACAGACTTTGGGTATAAGGATTCCTTTTCACAAGCTTAGGAAAGCTTTTGTGGCTCATTTGAGATGGACTTGGCTATGTAGAGGCACTTCTTTCAGGGAAGATATATTTGGATTTGAATTTTAAAGGATGGTGAATATTTTGCCAGAGGTAAGGAATGGGGCAATTTTAAGGGAAGGAAATATCCAGACTAGAAGCCTAATTGTCTCATGGGGCTGCCCATGTGACCAGTTGTAGTGTCGTAGACTGCAAGACTGGGGGTAGACACTGATAAGTGAATAGACTGTGAAGGAAAGGCACGATTGATGTGGTGATGCGGGGGGAAATGCAGGGACCTGGAGGATACTTCCTGGAGGCTGGAAGGTGGTGGTAGTGGTGAGGAGATAGTCAGGGATACCTTCTTGGAGGAAGTGATGTACAAATTTTGACCTGAGAAATGAGTGGAATTTACAGAAACAAAAGGGAGGAAAGAGAAGGAAGTAAGAGTATGTATACAGGCCATTTGCAGGAGTGAGCAGGTAGAAGAACTGGGAGAATGTCCATGGAAGAAACTGAATACCTTTTACTCTCATGCCGTATTATAGGTGCCTGAGGGTTGTGTAAGCAGCAATGTCTAGTCTAGTACGTAGGTAGACAGATCAGGAAACCAGTACAGAGATCTGAGCTGTACAGAGGTCTGAGCTGTACATAGAGATTCAGAAGTCAGTAGCACACAGAGGTTTACTGGAGCCATGGGAATGGAGCTGAAGCCCAGGCAGAGGGTAAAGTGGCCTCAGAAAGGGGAGAGCCAAAGCAGTCTGTTGCCTGGGGGATGGGGAAGTGGAGATTGAGTAGGTATGGAACTTTCTTTCAAGAAATTTGGCTGTGAAAGGGGAGGGAAAAGGGCTGTAGCAAGATGGGGGGATCTGGGTTCAAGGGAATTGTTTCTTTTAAGATGAGGAAGAATTTGGAGAATGTTTAAATGCTGACGAGAAAGAGCTGCTTAAGTGGGATTGGCTGGAGATAAAGAAGAGGAGCGGTTAAGAGAGGCACGAAGGCTCAGAGGAATGGGTCCAGAGCATAAGAGGGCACAAGGAAAGCAGAGCAGGGGCCCCTCTTGGAATTCAGCCCACAGATGGAGGAGGAGCTGGGTGAATGTGGGCAAGAGTGTGAGTCCACGGGCAGAGGTTGAGGGGAGTCTCATTGAATGGGTTCTGTTTCCTGTGAAGTCTGCAGTTGAGTCCATCTGCTCAAAGGCAGGGAGGAGTTGGTGGGCTGGAGATTTTCCTGTAGAGGAGGCAGTTTGAAGTAGCCACTGTGAATGGTAGGAAAAGGGCAGTCCCAGGAAGCAGAGTTGTCACTGTGCGGAGGGCTTTGTCTTCTCCCTGATGATAGCCAGGGCCAGCCACAGACATAGAATAATGTTGAATCAGTCACTTTGTTCATAATGATAACTAACTTCTCAGTAGCTTATAAGTCTTGATTATAGTTGGTCAAATGAATTTCGAGAATTAAAAGAAAAACAACTTCCTTAAATGCTTTTTATTTTAAAATTTGTTTTATTAATAGTAATTTAAAACATTTTGTTTAAAAGTGTACTTCTTCCAAATGAAGATGATTGAATTCTCTTGTTGGTTGCTTTTAGACACTCATGGTGGCTTGGATCCGAGCAAACCTCTGTGTGTACATTTCTCGAGAGCTCTGGGATGACTTTCTTGGTGTGCTGTCCTCCCTCACAGAATGGGAGGAGCTTATAAATGAGTGGGCCAACATTATGGACTCCTTGACAGCGGTGCTTGCAAGAACCGTTTATGGAGTTGAGATGACAAACCTACCTCTGGATAAATTAAGTGAACAAAAGGAAAAGAAGCAACGAGGCAAAGGTATTTCCACTCTTCCAGGTTAACACCATATGTCTAGGACTGGGGACAAATAGAGAATCACGCAGCACATAGGGTAAAACAGTTCACTCACCTACATGTTGCATAGCTTTTATTAGGTCCTCCTAAGACTTGGGAGGAAGTTTTCTTTCAAAGCCTCATAAAGGATACACATTTCTTATTGTGTAGACTACCCTTTAGGAATACCAGCCTTATAGATTATATCAAGTGTGCCTTTGCCATATGACAAATCGCCCAAAACTTAGTGGCTTAAAATAACCACTTATTTATCTTGATTTGATGAGTTGGCGATTTGGGTGGGACTCAGCAGGTCAGTTCTTCTGCTAATCTTTGCTTCTGTGTTTGCAGTCAGCAACGCTGTGAATAGCTAGGCAGCTCTATTTTTAGGGGTTGGCCGGCTGTTCGCAGAGGCAATGAGGTGTGACTGGGTTACATGTTTCAGCAGCCAGAGGCTAGCTCAGGCTTGTTTACTAAGTAGCTTAGAGTTTCAGGAGCAGCACGAGGGTAAGCTCAAATTTTCAAGTGCATTTCAAGTCTCTGCTTGTTCAGTTTTGCTACCAAAGTAAGTCATGTGATGAAGCCTAACATCAGTGTGGGAGAGGACAACAGAGGAGGTGGTTACAGGGAGGTGTGAACCAGTTACAGTGGTTAGTAAACCATATACATGTGTAATACATGTGACAGATTCTTATAATATCTTCATTGAAATCTGAGAATGGCTTGCCAAAGCACTAATTAATAAAAGCAAGTTAGTAAGAAGACGAAATAAAGTAGTTGAAGTATATGGCAATTCAGTTGAATAGTTTAATCCCAACGTGGATTTAGATTGTCTAATGCAATCATTTTCTAACAGTTTTAACAGACCTTTTTTTTTCTCCCCAGTTGAAGGTATACAGAACCCATTTCTAAAGAAATATACTAGACCTGAGATTTGGGATTGAAGTAAGGGCAGGGAGCCAAGAGCCTGGGCCCTTGGTCTCCATTTAGTCCTCTCTAACACTTCTGAGGACTTCTGTGTAAACCCAGGGCCTGAGAGGATCCAGCCACTTCCAACTAGGAACTTGCTTACCTAAGACAGTGGTTCTCAGCCGAGAAGAGAACCTGCCCAGCAAAGGGTGCCTTTCAGGCTGAGGAGGAGAGCTGTAATAGGAGATAAGGACCTACCTTCAATTGTTGTAATCCATGCACGAGCATGTGTGTACACACACACACACACACACACACACACACACACACCCCTACCTGCATTCTGCAATGTTCTCTTCCTACCCACAGATTCATCTGAAGAAGTACACTTGTGTTAGGAACGCAAACAACTTTGAAAACACTGTTTTCAAAATGTACTGAACCAATTATTTAATTAATGACAGTGACTAATATTTCTGATTTGTATTGTTCTGTCCTAAAAAGTAATTAAATATTTATTATAGAAATGCTTGCCTTCTAAGGGCTAGACTAACTAGAAACAAAAAACACAGGCAGAGGAAACTGGGTGTGGGAGACATCACTGGCCACATGATCCCTGTGCAGAAATCTCTATGTCTCTCATTCTCTTTCCTCCTCTATTTGTTTTAGATATGTAACCTCTCATTGAGATAATTAAACCAGAACAATATGAGAAAAAAGAAAAGTTGAATTTCACACTATAATGTTTTATTGTTTTGGACCTTTGCTAAAATAGGATATTGTATTATTTTTAGATTTTCATTATCCTGCCCATTTGACTGAATCTATATTAGAGTTTTAGGCATGGCTTGCTCTGGGGATTTGTGGAAGGGTTGGTGTCTACAGGATGCAGTACTATTCCAACATCAAGGTCTCTGAGTTTTTGGAGTGTCCTGGGAACAGTGCTGTAACTTCATATGATACAGGTCTTGTATTAAGAAAGGTTTATTAATATTGCTTTTGTATATTGGAGTGAGTACTATGAAGATATAATAATTTTCACATGACTATTTTAGATTCTTGAAAACATTTTGGCAACAAGAATTCTTAGATTAGTGACATATGAATAACTTCCTAAATTGCAGTGTAAAGAAGTGGTACTTAATTTGTGACAAAGAAACCTGCTGATTATATATAGTTGTATGTATGCCATTTGCTGAGCAACACAAGCTATGAAATGAATAATAATGAATTCAACCATTAGATTACTTTTCTTATCCTTGATCAGGCTGTGTTCTAGATCCTCAGAAAGGAACCACTGTGGGGAGATCCTTTTCTCTCAGCTGGCGGAGCCACCCAGATGTGACCGAGCCTATGCGATTTAGGAGTGCCACCACGTCTGGAGCACCGGGAGTGGAGAAGGCGAGAAATATCGTTCGCCAAAAAGCAACTGGTAAACATTTATTTAAATGCTTCTCAAAAATCTAGTTGTTATCTGAAATGAATTTACAGGCATAAAGTGTGTTAAAATTCTACTCAAAATTTAAATATTCGACCTTGTATTAAATGAAATGTCTCTATATCTTTCTAGCTTTCGGCTTTAGTTCCTTTTCGAATCACAGTTTTCAGTTATTTATTTCTAAATTTTCCATTGTGAAAAAGAACTTGTGATGTTAATATTGAGTGAGATATTTCTCCAAAATGGAGAAAATAGTTTTTGTTTGAACCTTGAAGAGAACAGATTGTTAATAAATATACCAGTTGTTAATGTTAAACAATATTGCCACACTCTAAAGATCAATATTGTTTAACATTAACAATATTGATCTTTAGAGTGTGGCAACCTGTTTCAGCAAAGAATAGGAGAATTGTACACTTTAGTTTTCAGGACTGGATAGACATTTCATATTTTGCTCTTTTGGAAAATCGAGTCTTTTCATGCCTGTGGATGTTATACCTTTGTAGCCTATTTCAATTAACAAGAACTTGACCAACAACCCCCAGTTAATCGGACAACTTTGCTACATTTTACTCTTAAAACAAAAAGTGAACTCTTGAAAAAGAAGCTTGTATACAGCATTTAATAAGAACAAATAAAGCCACCTCCTCCCCAGTGACTTTGAACCTGTAACTTAGGTTTCAGACAATTTTAATTGCTATTTAGCATGTTGACTTAAGAAAGTCACAAGATCCTCTGGCCATAAAACAAAGATTCATTAAAGCTTAACGTATTCTATAGTGCTTAGTAAAAGCTTAATACAGACGGTTTAGAATCCTGTTGGAGTTTTTATGAAAATATATTCCACCTTAACTGTAACTCTCTCATCCTTTTTTGCTGTCGTATTTGCTGGAAATTATCACCTTATTTGCATGCGTGGCCGGTTCTGCTTCTCCCTTCTTCTTTCATTCCCCCCCCCGACCCAATTCCTGATTAACAGGCAACTTTTCAGGATGTTCATTCACTGATTTCGTTTCTCATTCCAATTCCTAAAAATGATTTTCTTCTATCATTAGAGTCTTTTTTTTTTTTTTTTTTTTTTGAGTTGGAGTCTTTGGCTGTCCCCTAGGCTCAAGTGCAGTGGTACAGTCTTAGCTCACTGCAACCTCTGCTTCCCAGGTTCAAGTGATTCTCCTGCCTCAGCCTCCTAAGTAGTAGCTGAGACTACAGGTGTAAACTACTACGCCAGGCTAATTTTTTTTTTTTTTTTTTTTTTTTTTTTTTCAGTAGAGACGGGCCATGTTGAGACCATATTGGCCAGGCTGGTCTCAAACTCCTTACCTCAGGTGATCTGCCTGCCTCTGCCTCTCAAAGTACTGGGATTACAGGAGTGAGCCACCACGCCCAGCCTTTCTATCATTGGATTCTTTTTTTTTTCCTTTTTCGAGATAGAGTCTTTCTCTATTACCTAGGCTGGGGTTCAGTAGTGAGATCTTGGCTCATTGCAGCCTCCACCTCCCAGGTTCAAGTGATTCTCCCACTTCAGCTTTCCAAGTAGCTGGGATTATAGGCTACTTGGAAAGTAGTGCACCACCATGCCCAGCTAATTTTTTAGTTTTAGGATTATAGTGCACCACCGTGCCCAGCTAATTTTTTATTTTTAGGAGAAATGGGGTTTCACCATGTTGGTCAGTCAGGTCTTAACTCCTGACCTCAGGTGATTTGCCCGCCTTGGCCTCCCAAAGTGCTGGGATTATAGGCGTGAGCCACCACACCTAGCCTACTGGGAATTCTAATAGGCAAAGGGTAGGGGAAAGGATAGTAGGGTAAAAAGTTTGTTTCAGTTTTTGCAAATGTGTCACTATCATTTGTGTCCATTTCATTAATGTTAACTGAAGTCGCATAAAAATTAGTAAAGCGGCAAGTAAATCTTTATATTTTTGTTTTAGGATAAAACTGATTTTGCTGATTGTGGTTTTACATATATGAAGCATGTTTCCCTCCTGTGTTCATTCAATTTCCCCAATGTTTATTTGACTAACAGTATATAGAACACATAAGAATACCATAAAGTTGACATTAAAGATGTATGGATTTAATAAGCATGAAATGTGACATAAAAGGATGGGTTTTATGGAGATTTTACCTTTTCCTCAAATATGAAATCTTTTAATGTTTAATTTGACTTGTATGTGTTCTTGAGCTTTTTGGATATTTAATTTACTAAATGATTTGCTTTTGAATGCAGTCAGCTCTCAGCAAACCAACTTCTGAAAGAAGGCCAGATACTCCCTCTTTCACCACGGTCTTTTTGTACATACCCTTGAAGAAAGGAAAATTGATTATAACGTCTGTCCAACCAAATAACCCGAATGTGAATCTGATATGCAGCAGAAAGAAGGAAAGGCTAAACATACAAAACATTTCAAAAGAAAATTATTTGTGGATTGCCCATTCTTCTATGTCATGAGAATGACTGACTGAAAGTTGGCTGTATTTAGAGACTACAATTAAATACTATACTTTGTACTGACTTCCTTTAAAGTTTAAAATGACTTCCTTTAAATGTTTAGAGAGAGCCCAGAAAAGTAATAATAATAATAAGGTGAAAGGTCCTATTGTTCTTCTGACATAATTATTACTTTATCTCTCCTGGAAGCAAAGCGAAGCCAGTCTATCAGCAACTGTGTCCACCTTTCTGAGGCTTTGCCTGCCACTAAAAGCGTCCCGCTCCTCCTTCACACCGTGAGCGCTCTCTTACCTGGTCTCTCTTACTCTTCTTGCTCTCACAGGCTGTCAGGTACTGTAATGCTGTATCACGTGTCCATCACTGTTCCCAGGCTTCTCCCGCTTGCCTCTGGGCCTTGCTTCCTTTGTTAATATGCCCACATCACACATGTGCCTGACCATCACACTAGTATTAAATTGCAGTGAATACTAGTAATTGTCTTTGTGTAGTTAGACGCTTAGTGGCAATTAGATAGTCAAGAAAAATTTCTGTGACTTTGGTCTTTGCAATAACAATTAAGGAGGATAGAAGGATTTTAAGTCCATAGCTTTTAATAGGGGGAAATGTGATGCCTGCCTTAGTGTGTCTTTATAGAGTGCCCATAGAAAGTAAGGGGATTTTCATAAATGTTTTGAACATGTCAGTATTAGAATGCTTGCTGTGTCTTCCAAAAAAAATGAATCAACTAGAAAAATTATGTAGGCAGGATCTACCTGGAGTTAATAAATCATATATGTGAAGTAATAATCAGTTATGTAGATTCATATTGATCATTGAAATTTGAGTGAAAAAGGACCAGTGCAAAAGAGCAGTAATTTTCAAAACAAAGAAATGTTGTTTCTGTACTTTGGCCAATTGAAATTTAATTTAGCCATGTGTGATTTACACACGGTACATTTTATTTAAGACATCATAGCAGCCAAAAGTCATCTTTAGCCTAGCTACTTCAACAGGATTTACCTTGCTCTATAGTGAACAATTAGGTCTATGTCTAATTATTTTGTAGTGATTCTAGGATGAACTGGATCTTTTTCCTAAAAAGAGAAAGATCATTTTTATGATCTTTTTTAGTTTCAGAAATTTAATATTGTAGATTAGTAGTTGTTGTTTTTGCTTTTTGAGACAAAGTCTTGCTTTGTTGCCCAGGCTGGAGTGCAGTGGCGCGATCTTGGCTCACGGCAACCTCTGCTTCCTGGGTTCAAGCAAGTCTCCTGCCTCAGCCTCCAGAGTAGTTGGCACTACAGGTGTGTGCCACCACGCCTGGCTAATTTTTGTACTTTTTGTAGAGATGGGGTTTTACCATGTTGGCTAGGCTGACCTTGAACTCCTTAACTCATGATCCACTAGCCTCGGCCTCCCAAAGATTAGTATTTTTTTTTTTTTAACATTGGGGGTAACCTAGTTGTGGCTTTCTGTAGTAAATTAAGTCCTCTGCTGGCTATGTAAAATTACTTTATAGAATTTAAGGGAAGAAGTTAGTTTTACCAAAAGTGAGGACTATAATGTTTCTTAGGAAACTTTTTCTCCAGTAACTATTAAAGGTAAAAAAAACAGTAAGAATGGTACATGGGAAAATTGTCACTAGTCAGTTAAATTAGTGTTGAGTTTTAACTGCCCAATTATTTGGTTTTCAAAAAAAGCTATTTAGAGATGATTACTAAACTATTTAAAATGATTTTACCCTCTATTTGGCTGATATATACCCCAAAATAATTTTTTGTGTGGTGAAAAGTTTTCCTATGTCACAGTCCATTTTTTTTCATCTTTGGTTTCTCTTAAGTTTTTTACTAGTTTGTCCAAAACATGTTCCCACAAGAAATCTCTTCCTGTTAGTAATTTAATTTTGGAAGCTTTTGTTCTCATGCAATATAACATTTTATTTTACTAAGACTCTTGGTTACTGTGTATACGTATACAGTTCCAGCTGAAGTTAAATATGATTTAGAGACGTGGTTCTCAACTGGCAACAGTTTTAACAATGCCTAGAGACACTTTTAATTGTCACGAGTGGGACAGTGCTACTGGCAGCTAGTGGGTGGAAGTCAGCTGTTGATGCTGCTCAATAGCCTGCAATGCACAGAACAGCTCCCAAACAAAGAATTGTCTGGCCCAAAATACCAGCAGTGGTGAGGCTGAGAAATCCTATGTTAGAGTGGAATCAAGTGTCCTGGGCTCGGTCTGTAGTTTCCTGCCTCTCCTATCTTTGTTCTTGATTTCGTAGCACAAGGGGTGAAAGGACTTCAGGGTATAGTGGCTTTGAGAACAAGCTGCCATTCTCTGTTTCATCTGACTACTATGATGGTGAGCTTCTTAGCCTGATGCCATTGGTTCCTTACTGATTAAACTGATGCTTTTGTCCTTTGTGACTGTGCTGTCAAGAGACTGACCCAAGGAAAAATTGTATATTCTCTACTGGTTGGTACATTAAAGTATTGAATTTGTCCTCCAGTTTAAATCCTAGTGTGTAGGCATATTCTGCTAACCCACTGCTAGATCATAGGACACTTAATTTTGCTTTCTGGCCACAAGTTCTGTACTCTATCAGTAATTGATTGCTAATTTTGTTTACATTTAAGTTAACTTTTTTTTGTTTTTATTTATTATCTATGTAACTATTCAACCCAACAAAATTGTTTTAATAATATAAGCAATAGAGAATTACTTACTTTTAGCCACGATTGTATCTTTTTCTGATCTTTTTGGGATTGTGTTTGGCAGCAGCAGCAGAATTTTGGGCAGGTTGTATTCTGGGAGGAAGAAGTGATGTTGTGTTTTGGAGTCACAGCCACCTGTTTCCATTAATATGAATAGCTACATAAACACAGTTGGGGAGGTAGGACTGACAGTTTCTGTGATTTCCTTTGTTTTCCTTCCTGAGAACAGTTCTTTGCAGCTGTTCTATACTTTTTGTTTTTGAGATGGAGTCTCACTCTGTGAGACTGGAGTGCAGTGGCGTGATCTTGGCTCGCTGCAATCTCCACCTCTCCAGTCCCGGTTCAAGCATTTCTTCTGCTTGAGCCTCCCAAGTAGCTGGGATTATAGGTACATGCGACCATGTCCAGCTGATTTTTTGTATTTTTAGTAGAGACGGGGTTTCACCATGTTGGCCAGGCTAGTCTTGAACTCCTGACATCGTGATCTGCCCGCCTCAGCCTCCCAAAGTGCTGTGAGTGCCTCTTCTACAAATTTAACTGCTTTTTAGGTTGGGACATTTGTCAATCTGTAGCACTTAACAGGTCACACAGATGGTAGATTTTATTTTTCTTTTAGGAATATTGTAATAGTAGTAATGAGAGGATCAACAATCTCCCCTTATTCTAAAAAGACATTATTGGAACGGTATGGCAAACCTTGCCTCACTGCTTCTGCATCTGGTTTAAGCGCTTCTAGGAAGTGCTTTTTTGTCAGGACCTGGTTGATTTACCTTTGGGAAATTTGATCTTGTGGGAAACTTCAAGATGCTGAGTTGATGCGCATTTCCTCTGCTTTTTATAGGATCAGATTGGTATCATGCATGGTGTTTTAAAAATTAGGAAATTATACTATTTATTTTGCTTATGCAACCTTGTAAAAGGGATAAATTGAACTCAGAAATTTGGTTATTGAGGAATGAGCTTCACTCCATTTAATAAATGCAAGATTGATTAAGGAAGCCTTAAAAAGTGAGTGAAATTGCTGTGAAAAATAGAGATCTGGAAAAATATACAAGTTACTGTAAAGCTTACACAATTTAATTTGATCACACTGCCTTTTCTTAATGGGAAAAAATGAAATTAGATCATTTTCAAGTGTTTTGAATGGAGCTTTAGAAAGTAATGGTTTAGTAATGGTATTTTGTAACTTACATTGTCAAGAGATGAGAAAGTTAGTGCTTTTAAAATCTGGGCAATTGGGACTAGCTAGGCTTTAGAGAGAGTACATTATTTGGCAAATCTAAGATAAAATTTAGCTCTTTGAAGTGATTTAAACAGAAATTGTGTGACATTCAAAATAGAAGATGTGATAGGTCTAGGATTTATGTAATTTTAATGTAACTGATATAATTCTTTCTCTCTTTTAAATATCAGATAATCTTGTCTTTTGATATTTGTGTATCACTATTAAAATGATTTTCATTTGTTGTAAAAGAACAACTGCTACAGCTAACTCCATAGAATGAGAGCAGCTTTAACATAAATTGCTTTCTTAAATAAAATGCCAGCAGAGGGAGCCCAAGAACTATATAAAAAGGAAAAATAGTATAAAGAAAATGTTTCTGTCATTCGTGTATTCATTTCTACAAAACACGTATTTAACATAAAGGATGAGAATGCCAAGAAATGTACCCTTACAAATCAGGAATTTGGGTTTAAATTGTGGGATAAGGAGAATTGAAAATTCTCTTTTCATACTGTCTCAATTGATAGCTACAGGAGTAGCTCAGGGTACCTACAACACAACACACTTAAGCGTCATAACTCTCCCCTTCCTTCCCACTCAACACCCTGCCACTGACCACTATTCCTAAAGGCTTGGACTTTCTCCATCTGATAAGTCCCTCCTGACAGTTTTATAAAAACAAAGCCTTAAAAGCTGCATTAGGCCAGCCTGTTGGTAAGGCAGACCAGCTGGTGGTGGCAGGCTCTTCGTCCGTCTGCTGTGTTGAGGACCAGTGGGGACACTCTAATTTGGAAGCAGTGGTGCTGTGGCTATATTGTATCCCACCAGATGGCGATGTTCTTTATCTTTAGAAAGTTGCTGCCAGTGTTGGCTCAGCTCTTATTTGCTCCTGCTCATAGGCCAGAAATCAACATCCATCAGTTTTTGGCATCAGGCTTCGGGGAATAAAACCAACTCTTCCCACTATCCATAAAAAATGGCATTTGCCAATTATATTTTAGAAAGTTAGGAAGCTCTTGGGCTCCCTCTACTGATACTGGATTAACAAGTAGATTCATTAACAAATATAAACTCTTCCCAGAAGGTTTCAACATCTTGGATAATTAGAATAAACAATGAGAGAAGACAGCCGGAAGGGCTGGTCCTATGGTGTTACTTGGCTTCTGTTGCTGAAGGCTGAAGAGACTAGAAATAGATCTGTGAGAAGGATGTAGTCTACACTTTGGGATGTGTAGGTAGATTAAAAATGTGCACATATGCTTTGTGTTTCCCTGTTGAAAAACGAACAGTACTTGGCTGTTCAAAAGAAGAAGGCAAAGACAGCCTGGGAAACATGGCTTTAACGTATCTGCCTTTTCTTTCTACCTTGGACTATCTTGGCTTGTACTCCAAATTCAGTTTCCTACCAGCATCTAAAGTTAGACTATGGGCTGGCACCATGGCCCATGCCTGTAATCCCAGCACTTTGGAATGCCAAGGTGGGCAGACTGTTTGAGGCCTAGGCAACATGGCAAACCCCCATCTCTCCAAAAAGACAAAAATTTATGGCCACAGTGGCATGCACCTGAACTCCCAGGTAGTCAGGAGGATGAGGTGGGAGGATCAGTTGAGCCAGGGAGGTCACGTGTGCAGTGAGCTATGATCACACCACTGCACTCCAGCCTGGCGACAGAGCAAGGCACTGTTTCCACAAAACAAAACAAAACAAAACAAAAAACAAAAAACACACACAAGGAAATAGATAAATCTTTGTAAGTGAAGGATCACACAAATTTCATAGTTTAAGGTCTTGTAACTGTATCAACATACTATAAAATGGCATTTTCATTTGGATAGAAAAAAAAAACAGCAACCCTTTATTGAAATCCTGTGTATTAAATTTAGAATCTTCCTACATACTTCGTGCATAAGGTGAGCCATCACTTTGCCTTATGACTCAGATTAAAGGATTATACAGAGGATGGCCCATTGGCAGTGAGTTTCATTTCAGGTGATAAGCCAGGTGACCCAGCTAGTTAAGATACTACAGGCTATTTTGATCAGCCCCTTCTCAGTAGTAGTAATTAGCAGATTAAAATTTTTGGAAAATACTTTATTCTAGTTATGTGGATGTAGAGTTTTTTGACTCTATCAATGAGTGTGGAATCTAGTGAGAAACATAGCAGTGGGGCTTACATGCGGGCCAGCGAGCAAGTCCTATAAGGGGATATTCCCAGGGCAGCACAGCAAAGAGGCATGAGGGAGCCTGTGTGAGTTTAGCATAGGGGAGTGAACAGCAGGAAGAAGAGAGCAGCAGGTGCCAACTGGGTTAGTACTACTGGAGATTAAAGTGAGCTAGAGAACCTTGCAAGGGGATCAGTATGTCCTGTGAGATCAAGGAAAGCCCATATTCACCCTGACTAGCATGTGTTTGACGACTCTATAACAAGAGAGGGCTCTGGTGGGTTTTAAGAGGAGTGGCACAGTCAGATCTTTATTTTAGAGGGAGCATGGAGAGGATAAATATGAAGGTGGTAAGAAGATGGGGACAGTGATTAGTGATTAGTTAGCAGGCTCTTAAAACAATTGTTTAAAAGATGGTGCAACCCTAAAGTTGTAACTCTAGAGAGAGAGGGTGAGCTGATAATTCCAGTGCCTCGGGTGGTCTTTACAGATTAAAGTGTACTGTGCAGTTTAGAAGTGAGCTGGGGGGAACTCATTCTTTAGGGAAATATAGCTTGTAATAATACTGAGATTATCCTGTGGTCCCTACCCATATATGGTTTTCTGTTTTATGTCATAAATATATTGGTTTTCTCTAAATACCTGTGAATCATTCTGTACTTTAGAGAATAATTTGACATTGCATTTGCTGAAATAAGCCATTAAATAACTGTAGAATTTTATTTTGGACAGTTGGGCACTTACCTTTTAAAAAGGAGTAATGCTGTAGAAATTCCCATGTTTCATCTTCCTTTAGGGTGTGTGTGTGTGTGTGTGTGTGTGTGTGTGTGTGTCGTTGTTTTCTGTTCTTCTCAAATGTAAATTACCTATTCTGTGCATCTCCTGGATCTCTCTTTCCTTGGCATGCCTGGCCCTGAAATTCCAAATGACTTTTACAGTTCTTAACCTTTTATTGTGGCTTTTTTCCTTTACTTTTATTGAAAAATAAAAGTTTTTATAGAGCTTAAGTGGAAAATGTGTTTTTGGAGTGGAATATTAGGGGTTAGCAAGTGTAGGAAATTCGATGGTACAAATGCAGATTATCTGACTTTGTGAAAAGCATTAGAAATTTTATTTTTTAAATCTGTTGTTTTAAGTGGTGAACGTGTTTTTAAAAATCTTGAACTGTAACCTTGTATGTTCTGCGTTAATGCTCACAGAAGTGGAGGAGTGTCAACAGTCAGAAAATGCACCTGCATCTGGATCTGGCCATCTCACAGTGGGACAGCAGCAGCAGGTCCTTCGGAGCAGCAGCACCTCTGATATTCCCGAGCCACTGTGCTTAGATTTTTCTCAGGGTACGTGGTGTCTTCAGTGATTAATACAGAACTATAGATTCTGGTAGAGTAATAAAAGCTGCATATAGCATTACTTTGTACATGTATTCTAAATATATTTATTTCAAAGGAATTAACCTTTTCAATATGATTGCAAGGATATGATTTATGGCAGTGAAATATTTGCACTATTTAAACGTTTGTCTAAATTGTATCTATCTATATGTAGCTATATACCCACTTTTTTAAAGGTTGGCATGTTTAAGAACTAGACAGGAGTCCAAGTGGCTGGAGTAGAAGAGAAACAGAGACTGTTATAACATGAAGTCAGGAAGGGCATCAATTAAATATTACAGAAGGCAGGGAGGCAGGATGGGGGACAAGGATGTAGGGAAAGGGCTGTGAGAAGAGCCATTAAAGTTGGAAATGAGAATGGAAAGCTGACCAGACTTGTGAAAAAGTTTATTAGCAGCTTGCCGACTCTGCTGAGGTTGAAAATAATAACTTCTAATAGCATTAATCTACACGGTTTCACCAACAACTTGCAACAGCAACAGGGTGTGGAGAGCAAGGAGACAGATGGTTTGACCTATAAACAGTGAAGAATGTGTTTCTCAGTGAAAGAGTGTGTTTAAAGTGTGTCTGGTATCAGTGGACGTACTTATTCTGTTTGGGTGTCATAAATTAAGACATTCTATTTGTCAACAAGTTATCTCCTATCTTTTAATGTCAGGGTCATGCTAGTCTCATCAGATGAGTAGGAAATTATTCTCTCTTAGAAATTCCCTTGAAATAAGAAAATACAATAAAAGCTTCAGAAAATGTGTTATCTGAAAAATTTTTGAAAGGTTTTATATAAAGTTATTATTTTTTTCCGTATGTATTTGGTGGAAACTACCAGTTGCCTGGATTTTTCTTGTAGGAATGTTTTTAAATATTCATCTTTTAACAAAATTTTGGTTATGGAGGAAGAATAAGTTTAAGAGCTCTGTTGTACAATATGGTGACTATAATTTGTAACAGTGTATTGTATTCTTGAAAACTGCTGAGAGTAGATTTTAAGTGTTCTCACCACAAAAAAGTAAGTATGTGATACAAGTTCATTAGCTTAATTTAGCCATTGCACCGTATATATACACATTTCAAAACAACATGCTGTACACAATACATTAATACAGTTTTTCTATGTCAAGTTAAAAAATTTAAAAAGTTTAAAAAATAAAAGTTATAGGACTATTTAGATTTTCCTTTTCTTGTTTTAACTTTGATAAATTATGTTTTTTTAGAAACTCATTTTTTTCAAATTTATTGGTCCCAGATTATTCGTAAAATCCTCTTATGATCAGATTTAGTGTTTTCAGGCTTTGTGGTGATATTCCTTTTTTTATTACTGAAAACTGGTTATTTGTGCTCCCATCAATCTTTATTCTCAAGCAATGCTGAGACACCTTACTGATTTCTTCTTCCTGTTAGTTCACCAGGCCAGCCTAGGCACCTTTTCTCTGAGATACCTTCCCCCAGACCCCAGGAAGGGCTTCATCGCCCTCCCCTGTACAAGCATAAATGCACTAAGTGAACTTGTTGGCCACAGAGAACAGTAATCAATCCACTCTCTTCAGAACTCTCTGTGGGCCAGAGACCAGGTCTAAAGTGTGAACTTGACCCATAGGCTGCTGTTTTGCCAGGCCCATATTACCTGTTTTTACTTGTCTTAGAATATTTATATTTAATTGTTACTTACATATAAAATCATTTTCCAGTTTTACTTTCTGAAACATTCCTTCTATCTATTTCTGCTACCCTCTGCTCCACCATTTCTAGGTCAAAAGGCAGAAAACGCACAGAATTTGAGTTCTTCGGAGCCTCAGTCTATTCAAGAGAATAAAGGACATGTGAAGAGAGAACACGAAGGAGTAACAGTAAGATACTTTCCAAACCATTTCAGTTTGTCATTAAAAATAAACATTAGTTAGTGCTCAGTAAGTATATTTATTGGTGGCAGTGATAATTAAAACACTTTTTCCCATTTAGACAGGTTACAGGCCCAAATGATGTTGAGATCTTTCAATATTTTGCTTGCTTTATAGTCACATTACAAAAATAGGAGAAAATTAACATGAAAATGGAGTTTGAGTTCTTCAGAGCCTGATCTATGTATGGCACTGGATATTTTTAAGCAGTTACCTTTGCCTGTTAAACTTACATTTCAGATTCCCCATTCCTGACATCAGTTAGGTAGCCTCCACCTGACATGAGTTACTAGAATCAGTGAGTATTCACAAAGATGTTAGGTTTCTTTAAAATAAAATCAAATAAATTAAATGGCACTGATTTAAATATATATATAAATATAAAGAAGAAAATTAAAACATAAACCCATAACTCATTCATGCAGATAACCCCTATTCATTTTTTTTTAATGTAGCATATATTCATAGAAAACTCAAACTATCACAGAAAGATACAAAATAAAAAAGGGAGGGCCTCTTTTTGTTCCCCTCTTACTGGACAATAACCCATGTTAAGTTTCTTTTTTCTTTATTTTTTAAAAGGGCATGTACCAGTTTACATTTGTATATTCTGTTTTCAGCAATGATAGAAATACCCACAAACCCACCATCAGCTTCGGATCAGGAATATCTGCAGTGTTGTTTTTTGGCTTCTTCGCTCCTTCCTTGTTCCCTCTCTCTGCTGCCTCCCCACAGAGAGGGGCCTTATCTTGGCTTTGTGTTCATCATCCCCTTGCTTTGCTCTGTAGTTTTGTTATATAAGTATGTCTTTCCAAACAGATTGTTCTTTAATTTTCCTTACTTTTGATTTTCAAACAAAGTATTGTTGCTTTGTTTACCCAGTTATGTGTTTTTAAGATTTATCCACATTGTGGCATGTAGCAATAGTTCATCAAGTTTTCTATGATATGATGTTCCACTATACGTAGACCACATGTGTTTTTTCATTCTCTTGTTGGTTGACCTTTAGATCGTTTCCACCTTTTTTTTTTTAATGAAAACTGTAGTCATGTACATTCTTGTATATATTTCAGTATCTGCAAGTTTAATGTTTTCTCTCTGATTGCTATTTAGAATCAATGAATTATAGAATACAAGAATGTTCTTCTTTACAAGATAACCCCTGTTCTCCAAAGTGGTTGCATCACTTATATTTTTGCCAACATTGTCTAGAGCTCCCAATCATCTGCATTCTTACCAATACTTTCTATTATCAGATTTTTTTCATTTTTTTTTTTTTTTTTGAGGCGGAGTTTCGCTCTTGTTACCCAGGCTGGAGTGCAATGGCGCGATCTCGGCTCACCGCAACCTCCGCCTCCTGGGTTCAGGCAATTCTCCTGCCTCAGCCTCCCGAGTTGCTGGGATTACAGGCACGCGCCACCATGCCCAGCTAATTTTTTGTATTTTTAGTAGAGACGGGGTTTCACTATGTTGACCGGGATGGTCTCGATCTCTTGACCTAGTGATCCACCCGCCTCGGCCTCCCAAAGTGCTGGGATTACAGGCTTGAGCCACCGCGACCGGCAGATTTTTTTCATTTTTATTGGTCAACTGGGTGAAAATAGGATCTCTTATTTTGCACTTCTTAGACTACTAATGAGGTTAAAAATCTTCCCGTATGTTTATTGGTCATTTTTGTTTCAAAGTATTTTGTTTTAAAAAATTGGCATATTTTGCTTATATATATTATAATTATTTTGTGTAATTTATATATGTTTTGTCTCTCCAAGCATATTATAACTTTTTAGAGGATGTAGATTGCCTCCTGATTTTTTTTTTAATCCTGTGAATTTAATACAAGGTTAAGCAATGCTCATGAGAGTCTTTGGCACACTTAACTAGGAAGACGCTGAGTGGACCTTTAGAACTCTTGGCGGAGTTTGTGCCTTCCCTCTCAGCACACTCACCATTTGTATGAGTAATCTAGGCCTTCCTAGAGCATCATGTTCACTATATATGTGTGCTTGACCAGAAAAATAAATAGAACTTTAACACAAATTTCTTCCCTATAATTTGGCATTCCTTCTTAGATCAGTTAAGTTGGATGTAAATTGACAAAGTAGAGGATATAAAGTTTCAGATCTTGAGTAACATAAAATTAAATATAGTAATTTGTGAAAACATATCCTTCAAATAGAAAACATCAGTTTATTTAGTTATTATTGTTTGTTTCTTTTTTTTTTTTAGAAATTTGGGCTAGAAACTTAAGTTTTGTAGAAATAAAAACTTTCCTGTAGTAAATACAGTATTTCTTTTTATCTGAAGATCTTAGTTCGAAGAAGCAGCAGCCCTGCTGAATTGGATTTGAATGATGATTTGCAGCAGACACAAGGAAAATGTAGGGAAAGACAGAAGAGTAAGTTCTGAGAAATGTGATCTGTTCCTCCAACTACAACGTCAACATGTTCTATTTTCTTTTTATGTTATTTATTTATTTATTTATTTATTTATTATTGTGATTTGAAACACAGTCTCTTTTGCCCAGGCTGGAGTGCTCTGGTAAGGATCATGGCCCACTGCAGCCTTAACCTCCCCAGGCTCAGGTGATCCTGCCACTCAAGCCTCCTGAGTAGCTGGGACTACAGGCACATGCCAATGCACCTGGTTAATTTTTCCGTTTTTTATAGAGATAAGGTTTCACCATGTTGCCCAGGCTGATTTCAAGCGACTGGACTCGAGCTCTTCCCACTTTTTATCTTCTAACTTGAGTGATTGCTTATCAATTTAAGAGAGATGATTGTTAAATGGTACCTTTTTATTTCTGGAATCGTAGGATTGATGAAAGGTTCATCCATACATACAAAAAAACAGTTCTACTCACCTGTACTTTGAGAGGCCTGTCTTGCTATCCCTGGGCCTTTCTTCCGGTGAGCGGTACATCAGAGGCTGATGGCATGAGTGAGCAGACAGGCCAGAGAGAAAAATTACCTTCCCCAGAAAGTTCCCAGAGGCTAGAAGCAAAAGCCATCAGAATTACGTTGAAGTCAATGGGATAAATACTTTGAAATGAAATGGGATTAGAATCCTGAGACATATTAACATATACCGTAAAATACAGTCTTAATACTCTGCTTTCCTGAAGTGACATGCCAGAGTAGCATAGTAAACACCTCCTCAAGCTCAGGACAGTTCTTGATGGGTGCAGAGGAGGTCCGTCTTCACCCTGCTGGCTTAGAGCTCTTTGGGACATGAAGTTTGGGACCTCCCATTGGTCACTTGTTAACTGAGACAACTTTCCGTTCTTTGTGAGTAAATGAAAGACAGCAGATTAGAAACAGCAAGGGCAGGGGACTCTTAGGAGGAGATACAGAGAGCAGCAGCCAGGAGGGTGAGCAGACAGAGATGTAGACACTTAAACTTGTTACGAAGTAGACAGGAGACTTTGAGAAGCAGAACTGTCTAGGTTTCTCTTATGTCAGATTAAATAGTGCTATAAGTCTTAGTACCCAGCCTTATTCTATTCTGACAAATTAGAACTTACTACTGTTTAAAGGGGAGAATTTCTGTTCTAGAAAATCTGTTGTATTATATTGGGACGCTGTATCCCCAAATGACACTGAATGAGTCGCCCTAGGTTTACGTCTACATGTGAGGCTTGGGGAGTACAGCATCTTTAGACTCTTCTATCCGGCAGAGTAAACTTGCATTTGTGGTGGATCAGTTACTGTCTTGTTCCTCCACCCACCCTCATTTTGTAAGTCTAGCACATTTTAGGATTTGGTATAATTTGGGTAGAGGGGATGCTGAGTGAAGACATGTTGACGAGTGCCACTTGAATGATACATAGTGGTGCTCATAATGACTATTAATAGTCTGTATTTGGAAGATTCATTTTTTTGACCAAGGGCCCCACATGGACACTTTCCGAGCTCCTCTCAAGTTCTGCAGGTTCTGCCACGAACCTGAATGATTCCTGCTATGTCTGCTGTTTGAATGTTTAGTTACTGGCATAACAGTAATTGTGAACGTTCTGATTTTCAGCTCCTTTTTATCTTAAACTTTGGTTCTTCTCTTGTACCAGGTGAAAGTACCAACAGCGACACAGCTCCGGGCTGTAACAATGAGGCAGAGCTGTCCATGGGCCCATGGCAGACCTGTGAGGAAGACCCAGAGCTGAGTACACCCACAGATGTTGTGGCTGATGCTGACGCCCGTCACTGGTTACAACTGAGTCCCACTGATGCTTCAAACTTAACAGGTAAACTGCATTGTGAAAAAGAGGCACTCATGCAGACAGCTGGGAGATCAGCTGGGAGTTCTTGGAGTCCTGTATGCAGAGGGTTCTGAAACAGTTGTAGGAGGAAGTGTGCTGTGCTTCTGACCACTGTCCACTGTAGAAGGAAGGGACGGTATTCATGCCAAGCCTTTACCATCCCTGATTTAATTTCTTCTACTCTAAAAAGAGGAAGAGTGATTTTTCCAACTCATACGTGTTGTAAATCCAGGATAAGTCAAGGAGTGTAGATAGCTTATTGATTAACTTTTAAAATTTTTAAAGTATTTGATACATAAAAAGTAAGTTGCAACATATGCAATTGTAAGTTATAGGGCACAGCAATAAAGTGAACACCGGTGAGTCTACTACCCAACTTAAGACCTGGCATGGCACCCAAGCCAGTGAGGTCTCCTTGAAGTCTTTCTCAAGTCCCTCCCCTTCTCCCATTATCCTGGAACCCAAGCACAAATTTCTTTTTATAATAATACCATGTGTGTCAAACAACATATCATTTAGTTTTGTTTCTAAACTTTAAAAAAATAACTTCATATTCCTTATTTTTTGCAACTTTTTTAACCTCAGATTGTTTGACTTGAGAGCCAAACTTTCTGGTTGGCTTCCAGGCACTAACGAGGAATAGCTAGGTGGTCTTGAGCTAGTAACTCAATCTCTGTCCTTCTATTTCTTTGTCTGTAAATTGGAGATAACAGCCCCTTCTTTATAAAGGTTGTTGGAAGAATAAATGAATGAACTAGCATCTTAGGTGCCCAAAATAGTGTGTGTGGAGCAGTCTGCGGTTTTAGCTATTCACACCTGCACACACATATTGTGTGACACTGGGTCAGTGAGCCTCACAATGGCTAAGCTCTCTCACCTGTGTGACCAGGCTGATGAGAACGGGGAGACCATGGAGGAGCCGGGTTTTGTTTTGCTTTGTTTTGTAGAGTGTCAGGGAGTCTCATGTTCTGAGGAATCAGTGTGGGAAAGGGTGACAGAGCCAAGACTTTTCTGGTTGCCCATTCATGTTCACACACAGATACCTTGTATGAAAACAACCACTACAAAGTAATCGTTTAAGTAAAGGAGAGTTATTAAAATGCCAAACAATATTTTTAAATGATTAGCATAAAAGCAAAATTTTACCTTAATGGATGTTTTTTTAAACCAAGGAAACTAGTTTTCACTGTGATGTAAAACTGAAACAACGTCTCTGATATTTGGGAAATTCTTTATAGACTATCATTAAAATTGCCTAAAATTAACATATAAAAGTGGTATTAGATAAAATTCTTTATAGAATAATTTTGACTAATAATAATACATTGATATGAGATTTAACTGAAGCATTCTCTTCAGTTCTTGTATGGGAAGCAGGCCAAGTCTTATCATGTCTGTTTTAGAGATGAGGAAACTGAGAACCAGAGAAATTGTTATCAAGCTGGAGTGTGAGCTCCACAGATGAAACTGGCTTCCAAAGTGTGTTGGCTAAACATGCAGTACTGTGTTTACTCTTTTACACTGTGTTGCTCTTAAAATTAAAATTACTCTAAAGCCCTTTGACCTACTTGAGAATGCTTGCAGTTTATCTAAGAGAAACTCATCATTGTGATACTATAGGAGGCAAAACTGAAGCTTCAGTAGGTTGAATTTACTTAAACATGGACTAGTTTTAATTATTTTTATTGAAAGGGAAGAAAATTAGGTGATTACTTCTTTTGTCTGTTCTTTGGAAAGATTAGTTTTGATCCCATTTCAGAGTATGTATTGGACAGCTCAATTTAATAAACCTCTGTGAGGTAATTTTATATGATGCACTTCATGTTGTGATTAACTCTTCCAAATACATAGTTCTTTGAAATACGAATATAGAGAATCAGTACACGCAGTTCAATAGTTCACCTTGTCATCTGTGAAAAGGACAAACTGTAATGTGATAAGGTTTAAGGATTACCACAGTTCTGAATTTAACTTTCTGTTCTTAAAAGAACAATTTCTTCATAAATGTTAAAAATAAAACCGTATGAGCCTGATTTTTTAGGACATGCAAAGAGAAACAATTGGAGCATATCTTTGTTTCTTATTGAATAATCCTACTAGTTATCAAATGTTTAGAAGAATGAACTGCCTCTAAAATCTTACATTCCTTAATCACTGGCAAACTGACAGTTTATATTTGCTTTCTCATTTAAATCATGTTTGCTGAAAATAACAGCTAAATTTACTGTGCATTGTCTTAAAGTGTACCTGGGATTTGTTTTAATCAGATGTGGTAAGACATACAGACATGGAAGTGATTGTCATGGAGGAAGAAGCTTACATTCACGGATTCCTGGAAACAGGGATCATGTGGGAAGCGCTAGGAGGCAGAATGAACAAAATGAGGCAACAGCCTTTAGTGTCATTTCTATGGAAATAGCAAGGCAAGGCAGGGTATGCAGACTTAGGATTGCTAATATGAATGATTTCAGTGGGCTCTGGAGCATAAGGAGCTGTTCCTAGTTGCCTGGTACCCAGTCCTGGGATGACAGGGTAGGGGAAATTGACTTGGTATGTGATAGCTAGAGAAAAGAGGTAGTTGGAGGGTCTGAACTTTGGAATGGTAGGTTTACATATGAAAGGCATGCTGCCTGGTGAATAGACTTCTACCTCTAAGAACTGGCTAACCCTGGAAGTGGCAGTCCTTCCCTGATCAGTGAGGCCCTAATGCCAGAACATTGAGAAGACAGAAAATAAGAAAATATAGTTAATACATGCATAAATTTAGTTCTGTTGACATAGTCAGAGGAGGGGACATTTATGAATCTACAGCTAAGGATCAGTATTGCCATTGACCTCATCTCTTACACAAATAAGCTTATAGTCTAGAAACACTGGTTTAGATGCTATGAGAATAAAAAGATGAATAGGTCATAAGCCACTATAGTTTTTAAGAGCTTACAAAAATGACAGAAGACGCAACATTTATCCTGATAGTCACAAATAATGTGGTAAATTCTATGAGATTTCCTTAAAGTTGTAGAGATAGACTAATAGACAAATGGAACAGAAGATAAAATATAGAACTCAGTGCACCCAGACATGGAGTCATGATATATGATATATGTGGCTTGTCAGGTTTGACAAGGAAAGAATGTTGTTCAACACATTTCTGTGGGACAAGTATTTAGCCATATGGAAAAAAAGTAAAATAGAATTCCTACCTCATGCTATGCCCAAAGTCAGTTTCAGAGGGATAAAATACATAAATGTGAAAAGGAAAATTTAAAAACTTTTGGAAGAAAACATCTTTTTTAAAAAAGTCTATGATTTTTTTTTTTGAGACGGAGTTTCGCTCCTGTTACCCACGCTGGAGTACAATGGTGCGATCTCGGCTCACCGCAACCTCCGCCTCCTGGGTTCAGGCAATTTTCCTGCCTCAGCCTCCTGAGTAGCTGGGATTACAGGCATGTGCCACCATGCCCAGCTAATTTTTTGTATTTTTAGTAGAGACGGGGTTTCACCATGTTGACCAGGATGGTCTCGATCTCTTGACCTCGTGATCCACCCGCCTCGGCCTCCCAAAGTGCTGGGATTACAGGCGTGAGCCACCGCACCCGGCCCTGATTTTTTTTTTTTTTTTTTGAAAAGCTAACCATAAGAAAAACGTCAGTAATTCAACCTCAGTAAAATGAAAACTGTCTTACCGGAGAAACTTTAAGAATTCTCTGGTTTAGCGGAACCACGAAGGGTAAAAGCCAGCCTTGTTGCTCTTTCCCTTCCACGTTCTTGTTAGCCTAGTGATAAGTTTTAAGGCAAGGTTTGGTGAGAAATGTTATCCAGCATTTTGGTTTAGTTGGGAGGTTCCAAGGTCTTTCTCTACTAGAATGCAAACTCCAGGAGGGGAGGCTTGTTGTCTACAATGTGTACAGCTAGCTGATTCTTGCTTGCAAGAGCAGTGTGGGACAGGAGAGAGGCATTCAGTAAACACTTGAATCAGTGAACAAATGCACTTTAAACTGCAGGCTGTTGTTTTATATAGCACAATTAAATTTTAAATTTTTAGAAATAATATATAAGATGGTTTCAAAATCTCTTTTAGTGTGTTTATCACAGTCCTGCATCCAGATGTTACATCCAGAAATTTTTTTTACTACTTCTTTTAATTATAGCTGCAAATATGAATTACATCTCCTGTTACTTGTCACTAAAATTGTTTTTGCAAGAATGGTTTGTCAGCATTCTCTGTCATCACATTCATTTTTGGCATTTTCACCAGACTTGGTGTGTTTTGAAGTCATGAAGTATTAGAAAGAAAAATAATAACGATCGCTACTGCGGCATTGGTAGCTCAACTTCTAAAATCTTTGCTGTGAGCAGTGATTGTCCTTGAAAAGCAGAGGAAGGAGAGGAGAGTCAGGCTGCACTGGTGGGAGCAGAGCGCCACCTTGCTGCTTCTCCACTTGATCATTGACATCCAGGCCAGGCCTGAAGTTTTTGGCACTAGAATTAAGTTGTTTCACTCAAGCCTTTGAGTTTGTTTTTTATGTTTAGTTTTCAAATCAAAAGGAAATTTTGTTTTCAAAGACCGAGGCTACATTTATTTAACACTGTGCCAGCCTTTTATAAAATTGCAGCCATGTGAAATCACCATTTGGCCGTAAATGCTTATTTTGCCAACTACCAAGACTTATTCTGTGGCTGAAATCCTTTCTATATTTGCAAAGTTCTAAACTTTCAGATTTCTTTGTGAAAATTATGTATGTGTTTGGAGAAAGAGGACACAATTATGCTTGTAAGAGTTCCCACTTTAATTTTAAAAAGCTTAAACACCCCTATAGCATTAAGTAGTAATAAAACAAGAAGTCAGTAGGCTAACATACTAGCTTGCTAATAAAAAAGAAAAGAAAAGAAATTTGGGGTATTTTTAGGGTAAACATGAAATTTTCTGGACTCTCTCAAATCCCCGTTTTTAATTAAGTGCTCCTTCACTGAGGAACGCTCTA